AGCATAATAAAAGGGCGCAGGGATGCTTGACGGTAACACAGCATGATCTAGCAGAAACCTTGAATTTGAATGACACCAATGGTATCTTTTCCTGGGGGGGGGGGGGGGGGGGGAAGAAAAGAAAAGATGACCACCTTCAATAGAAGAAACGACAAAACAGACCAGACCGCAGTGATATCATGTAACAATGAACAATGACCCAAAGACGATAACCAAATCATGGATAGAGGGGCAACCTGGAAAATAAAACACAAATGGACCCCCAGATGACCCACCGACGCCGAATTAAGTGTTTAGATTAGAGGTTTCGAGAGAGGAAATATTAGACGCGAAACGGGAAAAGCCTTTACAGAATCATGCACTTCTTGGTCTTCGGTTTCGTAGCAGGTCGAGGATTGAGGACGGCCCTGACCATTGGTTAGTGCTAGGTCTAGACACCGCACAATGCGCACTTCTGAGTTGTCTCGCATACCGGATAGCTTCATCAAACACGCTCTTCAGGTTGCGCTGTGTAAGGGCCGAACATTCGAGGTACTTGTGCGCGCGGATCTCCTTGGCAACGACGAGCGCCTGTTCGTAGGATACGGGCTCCATTTTTCGTGCGCGGAGGGATTCTGCGGTCCCTTTATCGTCTCTCAAGTCAAGCTTGGTACCGACAAGGATGATAGGGACGTTAGGGGCATGGTGTTCAATTTCCGGAAACCACTACACCACGTCAGCTTCAGTGTTTACTTCGCTCGACCGGCTGAATCCACGTATGGTCGTTGCGGAGATTGCTGGAAGAAAGTACCTTGGCTTTGACGTTATCGAAAGAAGGAGGGCTGACGATGGAAAAACAGATAAGGAAGACATCGGTCTGAGGGTAGGACAGCGGTCTAAGACGGTCGTAATCCTCCTGGCCGGCGGTATCCCACAAACCCAAGCTAATCGGTCTACCATCCACCATCACACTCGCGGTGTAGTTATCGAAACTGGGAAGTCGGTCAACATGGCGTCGGACAAATGAAGGAGAAGGCAGCGCGAAAAGGGTTCAGGGGCAGGGTACGAACACGGTTGGGATGTATTCCCCGGGGAAGGCGTTGGTTGTGTAGGAGATCAGGAGGCATGTCTAGCGGTGTCGCGAAGTCAGTCCACGGCCACTTCAAGGGAATGGAAGCATTGCGCAAAAAGAAGAGCTTGCTCACCTTGCCAACAGCACCATCACCGGTAACTACACACTGTACGAGATATCCTGTTAGCCATGGTCGGGTCAACCGCATGATGACCCATGGACGGAGCAGTGAGGAACTGACCTTCAATGATTGGGTGGCTGGACTGGCCATGGTGTATGCAAATGGCGTGTGGTATGTGGAAAAAAGGCTATTCACAAAGAAATAAAATATGAGAGAACTGCCAGTCAATCAAGTTGTGAGGATAAGAAGAGAGGATGTAAGAGAAGAGGAGGGGATAAGAGAGGAGAGAGATGGGGGCAGGTGGGTAGAGCACAGCAGATTCACAGCTCCAAATGCAAAGAAAGAACCTGAGACTGAATGCAGAACCGCAGCTCAAAAAAGCAAATAAAAGGCAAAGTGAAAAATGAATAAAAAAGAAACTGAGAAGAAAAACGCGCAAAAGAATAAAAGAAGGAGAAAGTCAGAAAAGGGGAAGAATTAGAGAGGCCAAGGGAAGAGGGGAAAAAGTTGGGGGGCAACTTCGGGAACAAGAGAAAGAGAGAATTCGACAGCTCACCTTCTGGTTCAGGCACTGCAATTGTTAAGTCGAAGACTCTTAATGTTTAAAGAAGCAGGGAATTAACAGAAAAATAGACAAAACTACTAGCAATTCTGCAGGACTCCCGCCACGGAGATCTTTACGGAGTATACAGACAGCACAGAGTACGAATACGGAGTACTACGACAGGACAGCCACCAGAACTGGACAAACTAATATACTCTGCACTAACTACGATACCCGAAAAATTATCCCCGAGCTCAAGACATTCCATTCTCTGCCATACACCACTCTGCAGAAACAATAGAGCATTCCTCTTCCGGGCTGAACCAGTGATCATCGGTGGAGCATTTATCACAATTCGCCATTGGAGCTGGAATATGAGTCGAGTTGACTTTCAGAATTCCTAGATAATCACAATCTGAGAATAATACTACTGTTCCAGCTATAGCCAAAACACGCGGTGTATTTCTTTTAATAACCAACCGACAGGGCTGCAATATTATTGTCTGCATGCGATCTCTCCTATCTTGTCCATATGCATCATGCATACCTAGCTACAGAGCAACCCGTAGCTTGCTATCCCTGTCAATCTCATCCAATATGCTATCGACCTGGGCTCCGTATTGTTTCATCTGCTTATATCGCCCGTCAATATTTCCCCAATCAATAAAATACCCTTGATGCGGAGTATCCGTACTCCGTATGTACATACATGTACTCCGAACATTCCACGTATAAGCACTTCGTACCCAGCCTATAACGCTATTCTATTACAGCCTAGCAACGCCCGCAGACGCAGGCAAGAACCCTCCCCTCTTGAGTTCAAAAGGCTTGGCCATCAATCCTGACGCCTTTTTCACGAATTCCTGGAAATGGGGACCTTTCACATGTGCGTCCAGGGCCGCTGCGTTGCGGTATCTATACAAGCACGCCGTTAGTACACCAACCACACAGGAACTAATTCAAACCAGGGTTGTGAAGCATGAATACCTCTCCACAACTATGATCTCATCTTTATTCTGCTCGTTGGTAAAAGCGTAGTAAAGAAGAGTGTCTGGTTCGTGGGCCTGAACCTTTTGGGTGACTTCGGCCATGAGAGCGGAGAGCTGTATCTTGTCAGTTATTGTGTTAAAGATGGAAATTTGAGTTTAAAGGAATTCACTGACTTCCGCTGCCTTCCCAGGCTTGGGATAAATAACAGCGACAAGATTGATTGCTTCAGATGCCATGGTTGTGGTTGATATTGGTAAGTTGTTTGATTTTGGAGAAGTCGACCGAGGGACGTAGATGCTTATTTCTAATCCATGGAAGCCGGCAACGCCGGAAGCACACAACAATATCAACAAGGTTGATTATATTATCACAATATCCACTTTATAAAACGATCCTGCTAAATTGGTATCACATAGAAAAAAAAAAAAAAAAAGAGAAAGAAAAAAAACCCTCCTGTACGATATATGTGCCTGTACATATATCATCATCATCATCCATCATAACCTCGGCAACACAGGAAAACAGAACAATATGAATCGCTTTTGAAAATAACGCGTCAACCAAATAGCCGCCTCTTTTGTAAACCTATGCAAACCTATATCCTAGTCCTGTAGATACTCCGGTCAAACACTCCGTTACATAACCGGAGGAGCAACAAGAGAATCAGGGATCCCATCAAAGACCCAGTTGAGAGAATCGAAAACCTCCGAAAAGCCCGCCTCGCTCATAAAACCTCCATCAAAATTCCCAGGGTATATCAAGCTTGGGTCGTCAAGCGAGTTATCTTGCTGTCGAGAAAGGGGACCTGCCGCCGTCGACATGTTAGGGTTGGCCATCGCTGTTCCGCCGTTAGCAAGGCTTCTAGAAGAGTCAAGAAAGGCAATAGACCTACCTTGATCCTCAATGCTCCTCATAGGGCGGAACCGCTGTCTCCAGCGCCAAACCGTGTCATAAACGTGGCTCATGCTCATCCGACACCGAACCTTAAGCTGCAGACCATCCTCACCCGCTTCCGCCTCGGAACTACCCGCATTCCACATCTGGGCCAGGATGTCTGCCAGACGCACGGGCCGATCATGTTCCATCACACTGATCCGGCGAATTGCCGATATCGCTCCGTTAAATAGTAGCTTTCCATGGTTGAAGTCAATGTGTCGACTGAAGTCGCTCTTCAGCAGCTTCATGAGTGCAAAGGCAGCGGAGACGATCATCTGAAGGATGTAGTTCGTGGCGTGGCCGATTAACTCTCCAGGCGACGTTTCGAGGTCGAGAACTCGTCCAAGGAAAGACGTCGTAGCAATGAAGAGCTTCGTCAGGTCATCACTTCGCGCGTTGGATCCTAGAAACGCGAAGTATCGCAGATGCAATTCTGCAGCCCGTAAATGAATCATGTTGATATCTAAGCAAATTAGCATCAGTCGACACAAGACTGAAGAAGGACTGCATACGTGAAATTTTTCGACCAAAGTCCACTTCCATGTCTTTGAGCTCACTCTCTAGGAGCTGGACAATCAACAGCTTTTCAGAGCTAATGAACTCCGCAGGTTCAGGCTTGCTGCTGTAAAGAGCCTTGGTCACCCGGTCACAGAATTTTTCAATCCGTAATCGAGTTCGAAGGTCTTCTGGAGGGTGATAGTCCGCATCTTTAAGAGACGTTGGCTCCAACGCCCAATCGTAGATCGTCCCTGGTGGCTGCCCATAGCCGGTGGCAACGCTATCAACTTGTTAGCAGAAAGCCCAACGACAAGAAGTCAAAACTTACTTCTGAGCGACAATGTTACAGATGACCCACGTCTGTAATCGATCCTTCATTGCTTCGCCCTGTACTTCCATGCGGAAGGTAGTGAATTCCTCCGCTTGAACGGGACGATGTAACCCCAGTTGCATGGCGATCTGCATCATCAACCCACTGAGCATAAAGGTAGCATCGGTCCTCTGGCTAGTCGTAGGAAGAGGCCAAGTGCAAAGAATACACAATGCCTTAACCACATGGTAATCCTGAGGCACACCCGTGATGGTCGACCAAAGGAGCCGACTGAAAGGCCCTGAGAGTGAACTCAAAAGGCCTGGCTCAGACGGAGCGCGTCGGCTCGCCACGCAGATGATGGTCCACGCCAACAATGACGAGCGATGGAGATGTTCCTCTGGTCCTTTTTGGGGGTCCAGTAGAGAAAGGAATGGGTGGTAGTATTTGAAGAACCTGTCGAGGGTTAGAGGTTATCATCTTAGCAGGTGGTCGGTCACTTACTGTTCAAATAACCGAGCTACCCTGGATCTCGATAGCGAGACATCTTCCAATCTCCAGAGACTATCTTCCTGCGAGATGATAGATTCATCCCGGTGCATGGTCAACGGAGTCGCCAGAGGCTGCGATTCTAGAGGGGCAGATAGAGGCCGTGTGCGATTGGAAACCGCCGATTCAGGGCCACAGAACACATCCTCAGAGCACTGGGACATGTCATCGCTTACATTTGGTTCCATGGCCTGAGGATGGTCACTGTTGGTAGCCAGTCGTCGACGGAGATCAGCGATCTCCCTTTCCATCTCAGCATTTCGCCTGGAAGAGCACGTTAGATTACCTATCTAGGGTGTATATTATGCTGTGTCATTTACATACCTGCGCTTTGAAATGCGTTTAAAAGTGGGCTCGACTTTGCATTCAATCTGTAGTCGCCGGCAGCGTGAGCACGCCGCGGCTGGGGTCTGAACAATGTCACATCGTAGCTATGGAAAGCAGAAATCACAAGTTCAGCTAAGATGGCTCGATTAAGAATCATATGGGATGGACTTTTTTAAAGAAACCTTTTGTTGTTGTGTCTTAATAAGGACGGCATACCTTTTGCTGTTTACACTCATTACAAGCCTTCCGGCTACCACCCCGGCGCTTCCCCGTAGTAGCACCAGTACTACCACCAGTCATTGGCGGAATCTTCTCCATTTCGCAAGGCTCCGAATTCCTGCTTGAGAAATCGTAACCCGTCACCGGCCGGGGAAAACCTGCGTTGTTCCGAATGTCGCTACTGCCGGGGCCCTGGGGACTTATCAGATGGCCGTTCACTTGGCCATGAGTAGCAGCAGCCAACCCACTCGGTGGCAAAATTCCCCGGAACTGCAGCTCCATCAGGAGTCATAAAATCAGCGTTCGCCCGACGGTTAATGCAAACACCTGAAATCCCGAGCAGAATTGCGCTGCGCAGGTGCCGGAAATCGGCGAAATTGTGCTTGTTTGGAATGGTTTTTTGGGTGGTTCGATGTGTGTCGAAGGCGAAAGTCGGCGGTTCGGGATTAGTCATCGGTACCTGGGGCACATGATCTACTATGGAGTGATAATTTTGACGGTAGCATTCTGGTTACTACGAATGTTGTCGAGTTATTCATTTTGCAAGTTTTTGCTGACCTTTTAATGCATTATGTTGCTACTTGCCATGAGTGCGTGGTGGATGGTCTATTATGTCGGTGAAGTTCTATATATAACTAGTTAGTGCATTTGTACACCATACTAAGGACGCATCTCACTTTCCTTTTTACTGATAGTCATCGAATAGGGATTTGAATTAAAGAAATATAGAAATGGTATAATAATGGCTGGGGACTATCCCATACAAAGGAAGCCAAAAATTGCAAATTGACTGGCAACGATTTTAATTTAGCCCTCCTAGTGATCAGTCACCGCGTCTCTTGTGGCGCTGCTGCACGCACCACGGAAGTCACCCTTTTCCTGAGCAAACTGATTTCTGATAAATTCAAGCCACTCAGGAGCGCTTGTGTGGAATACGTCGACATGGCTCGCGCCCTCGTACAGCCTGATATGCGCTTCATTACCATGGCGGCATGTATCATCATACGAATCGATGGTGATTTCAGGCAGGACGGCAGTATCGTTCAACCCTTGGATAATCATTAGAGGCCCCATGGCCTTTGCTCCATTTGCTGGAGCAACCCAATCCTGCCATCTTTTCAGAAACCTGTTATGCTTCACCCACGCTGGATCAGTAATCAATTCCTTGGGTTTCAAGCCGTGTGCTAATGACAAGATGCCAGACATGCAAGATTGGGCTTCTGTAGCGAGAGTGACCCTTTCCTGCATTTCTTGAGCAATAAACGATATACTCGCACGGGGAAAGGCTCGCTTCAGGGCAATTGGCAACCAGGCCAACTCGTATATGATATCGTACGAAGCATAGTCCAGGCGCTGAAAAAGAATATCCATGGTAGCAACAGCTATGTCATATATCTTTGTTGCCGGTGCGATGGCCACGCTGCCCAAGTAGGTTCCTGCACCTCCCCTGTGGTGCAGCGGGCTTTCGGAAAGCTTCCAAGATGCGCCTCCGCCCTGGGAATGCCCGACAGACATCCATTCATCGGTGAAGGAATCGGGGAGTGCTTGTCGAGCTGCGACCATGCCGTAGTATAGGTCATTTACGTGGGCGGGGAAGCTTAGATACTGGTGTTCGATATAGTCGTTCCCGAGTCCAGCGTAGTCTGGAGCAACAACAGCATATCCACTATTGACCAGAAGACTCCAGCTAGAATAGTCAGCTAGGGTTGGTGTTGTAGATGGCGGGCACCCTCGAAACACACCGCTGGTGCCGTGGGCAAAGGCAATGGCAGGGTGCTTTTCATCAGAGCGGGAAGAATTATTGGGAAGCCCAATAAAGCCAGTGGCCGGAACAAAAGTGCCGTTCAGTGCGCGGGATGTATATTGAAAACGATAGATAGTGATTCCCGAGCTAATTTTTAGATTGTTTGGATTGACCGACTCGAATTTCAAGAGATCTCCAGGATGAGAACCTATGAAATCTGGAGCTGTCGCATAGAAATCAAAATCGAAGTCAGAACTGAAGAGCTGCCGGTCTTGCTTTTCGGCAAGGTTAAAGAGCTGCTCGCATTCCTCGCCGCAGCCGTGCTCTCTGAATATGGCAGAGGGGAGATCGAAGTTCGCAGCCTTGGATGCAGCTGTGAGGGATCCGGTAATGAGACCAAGCAAAGAAAGTCCGATCAAAAGCATGTTGAAGCTCATAGCAAGATGACAATAGGCAACACATCGTGAACTAAGCGAAGAGGAAACAGGTTTTTGTAGTTTTCGCTCTCATACACATCACAGACTGCGACGTGGTTTTCCAATTTCGGACATGTCATTGAAAATCTCTTATGATTCTTCAAAAATTTGAAGTTGTCACTTCATGTTGCATCTACAAAAATATCCACTATACCGCATTGGGAAATGACATGTCCAAAGTGGGGGGCATAATCACGTGAATAGACAGATTTGGCGTGTTCCTCTCCGTTACATCAGGGCTTTTTCTTTAGAGAATTTCCCTTTTCGTCTTCAAAGCCATTCTTTACTTCCCCCGGAGACATTGTGTACAATGTGTTCCTAGGTAACATGCGGTGACGTTCTCGACCGGCAGCAGCATATCGCTACCGTGGTTCATCGATGAGCTACCACTACAACATGCCGAGTTGAGTATTCAAAGAGCTTTGAGGCTATGCATAAATTATACGGTGGCGTTGAATTGGCTTGCGAGGCGTAGGGTCCGGGATACACACCGATAGTTGAGGCAGAAGGGTTTCCTTGTTGTTGAAGATAGCACTGTAAAAGGAAGCGGCCAGCAAAATTACTCCGTATTATCTAGGCAGTCTCGGAAGCTCGGGATCTTCTGTTGCCATTCATATCGTGATCAGCCGGCAATGCCACAATCATCGACCTTGTTAGGAGGTCTTTTTGGTAATGGTCATTACTAGGGAGTGCTGAGCAGTCATCTAAGTAAGCAGCAATATCCTGCTGTCTAATTCTAATAATAATACGCTTGTATTTATATTTCCTCAGATTTCAACATCTGTGCTTTCCCAATGCACATACATATATCTGCGAAGTATCTAATTCCATCATGGATCATCGAGCATAATTTGGTTCCTGGCCCCGGCAGAACATCTCCCCACCGCCGTCCCTTTCTATACGGAGTGCGGATCAACTGCCCCCCATAACTTTATCACTTGCCTTCTACCCCAGGCACCTGCATTCATCACACTGTCCGTTTACCCTAAACATTCACTTCATCTTAAACTGTGGTTTCTTCCAGAGATACTTGAATACTCTCTCTTCTCATGGCAGACGTCACTCTCCCCGACGGCGCTGCGTCGCCCAGGGAGGATCATCCCCCGTCGAGCGCTGGGTCGCAGCCGGCCGCGCCCCTCGAAGCAGCTCCTCCCGCACCACTAGTCATGTCCGATGAGCTGAAGGCCCGCTTGGACAAAGTCATTTATTCCGATGTGAGTCTCTAGATGGCCTTTCTTAGAAAGGAATCGCTTGGAGTTTCATCGCATCGCGCTGACCAGTTCTGTTCGCATAGATCGGTATTACAACACTCCTGACTCGATTGAAGCAAAGCGTCGCATCCGCCAGAGTTCGTTAAAGCTTTCTAGTCCAGAGATCATCTCGTATATGCTGACACAGACGGAAAGGATTATTCGACGTTCCTGAAGAAGAGAGCGGTGCTGGAGGAAGAACATGCTCAGGGTCTGAGAAAATTGTCACGCTCTCTTCACGACGCTGCGCAGCGCTCTGAAAACCGTCAAGGAACATATGGCAACAGCGTTAATGAACTTCACCGTTTCCACGACCGAATGGCCGACCATGGCCTGCAGTTCTCCGTCTCCCTTCAACAGATGGCCGACGATCTCCACGAGCTCGCATCGAATATCGAAAAGGGCCGTAAGCAGTGGAAGCAGACCGGACTCACTGCGGAGAAGAGGGTTGTAGAAGCAGAAACAGCCGCAGAGAAGGCCAAGGCCAAATACGACTCATTGGCAGAGCAATATGACCGGGTGAAGACGGGCGACAAGCATGGTGGCAAGTTTGGTCTTAAGGGACCTAAGTCGGCCGCTCAGCATGAAGAGGATTTGCTTCGTAAGGTCCAGAACGCCGATGCTGATTACAGTTCGAAAGTCCTGGCTGCGCAGGCAGCTCGGCAAGAGTTGGTTTCTACCCATCGACCTCAAGCCGTACTCAACATCCAGCAGTTAACCCGAGAATGTGATGCTGGCCTTACACTGCAGCTACAGAAGTTTGGTACGTGCACGCCACGTGTCTGGTCACGGCTTCTTTTCCTTTCACCGCTGACAATCTCTAGCAACATTCAACGAGAAACTGCTGCTTGGACAAGGATTGTCCATCAGCCCTGTGAAGGATAGCCCAGCGGTTGGACCCAAGAGCCTTTACGAGGTCATCTATACAATTGACAACCAAAAGGACTATCATGACTATGTTTTGAGTCACGAAGGTAACCCTGCCGCTGTGGCGAAAGAACAGCTCAAATACGAATGCCATCCAGTAAGTTATCTCCGCTGACCCCCATCACCTTTTGGTATTAATATGTTTGTTAGACCCTGGCCTCGTCATCTGGAGCTGTTGTTCCTGCTGCTCAAACCAGCGCACAAAATAAACGCCAGTCCTTCTTACCTCAGTCTTTCTCTCAACAACGCCTCGCTTCCCCTCAAAGCTCTCCTCAGCCCTCACCGGCACCGGCACCGGCATCTGCACCTGCACCTGCGCCGGCTCCTGCTGACCAAAAACCAGCGTTGCCGTATCCGCAAGAACCGGAACCATACTCCAACCCACCCTTCCAGCCCCCTTATCCTGCCTCTGTGCCACTGCCTGCTCAAGAGCAGCATCCAGTGGCCCCGCTTCCCGTTGGGGCACCACCGCCAAGCAATGGATTGCCGCCAGTCAAGCCGGTTTTTGGTATTTCTTTAGACGATCTATATGCCCGAGATGGAACAGCCGTGCCAATGATTGTCTATCAATGCTTCCAGGCTATAGAGCTCTTTGGTCTTGATATGGAGGGAATTTACCGGCTATCGGGCAGTGCAACCCATATTACTCACATGAAATCCCTTTTCGATAACGGTCAGTTTTCAGATTATCTATTATATCTGGATTATGCTTAACTAAAGCGTACAGATTCGACGCAGGTGGACTTCACCAATCCCGAGTATTTCTATCACGATGTCAATAGCGTTGCAGGGTTGCTGAAGCAATTTTTCCGAGAGTTGCCTGACCCGCTTTTCACTACGCAATTCTACCCCGACTTCATCAATGCAGCTCGTAAGCACTAGCCAGTTCTAGCCAGAGTCGATAGTTGCTGACTGCATGAATAGGCATTGATGATGATATTCAACGCCGTGATTCGTTACATGCCCTCGTTAACAATCTTCCTGATGCCCACTATGCCACGTTAAGAGCCTTGGTTTTGGTAAGATAGCCTATTGACTAATTTTTGGCTGTACTTTGCGAACTAACTCGGGGCTCCAGCATCTTAACAAGATTCAAGAGCATTATACCCAAAACCGCATGAATGCCGGAAATATCGCTATCTGTTTCGGGTAAGCCGACGTTCGTAACCCCATTATGTTATTTGATACTGACTATGTTGATAGGCCGACTCTCATGGGCGCTAATTCTACGGGTGCCATCGCGGATGCTGGCTGGCAAGTCCGCGTTATCGAGACAGTCTTGGTCAATACTTTCCAACTCTTTGACGATGATTGATGTGCACCATTTCTTCTCCTTTCCTTTCATGCCAACCAACTGATCTAGTTTGGAAACATTCTACACCTGAAGAGCCTCGGATTTCATCATTTGTCTTCTTGTGTATAATATGCCGGACGCTTGGCTTTCTTGATTCCCTGCCGCATTGACTTTCCGTTTATTGAGGTTTATATTGTAAATAGTGATTGTTAGCACGCTCTTAGCCGGCTAATGTTTGTAAAGGCCATGAAATCACGCTTTCTTCTTTTTCCAGCATGCATTTCTATTGTATGAGTGGACGGAAGTAGATAGATAAGTACATGATTACAAAAAACAAACATCAGATATAGTACAATTCACATAGATACATGCAAGAGGCGAGTTTCGATTTTTGCGGGAAGTAATGCATAAAGATAACACAAAGGGGTAGAAAAGAATATCTCGCTGAGTAGAACCACCACTGTCTAGCATACCTCGTTAAGGGCCTGTAGCCCATTGTTTGCCCTGATTTTCTGGGCCTCATCTCGAGATGAGCGAAGTTGGATCCTTGTTCGGATTTCGGATCTTGAACGGAGGAAGATGGTCTATTTCTTCCCCTCCATCATCGCCTTCATAGCCTCCATACGGTCCGAGAGCGAAAGCCCCGGCGCAAAGAACGGGGTCTCCAAATCCTCAACAGTAGTCGGCGTGGTATGTCCCCAAATCCTCCACTCCTGCTCCTCCCCAAACCACATCAACTTCTGCAGCACAATGTACTCAGTGCAATCCCGCTGCTTAGCTGGTGTCACCTCCAAGGCAGCATCCTCAACCAGGCCCCGCTTATTCGTGGACAGCTTGACCTTGCCCGTGGACTGGCTGCTGGTGATGCGGAGGACGACCTGGCGCACGCCGGATTTGGGAATTTCAGGGATTTGGGTTGCACGGTCTGCGAGGACGCGGGCGCCGGTGAGGAAAGTCGCGGGAGTACGGTTGTATTTGTCGAGGGACCAGGTTACTTTTTCGTCTTTGGGGCGGTTGGTGACTCGAGTGGTGAGATTGTTGGCGAGGCCGGTGCAGCAGATCTTTCGGAGGGTTGCGACGTCGCCTCTGTGGTGAAGTTGGTGGTTAGTTGTGGTTTGAGAGCAAGTGGTGAAGTGTTTGATAGCACTTACTCAGCGTAGGCAGTGTACATCCGTTCGTAGAGTTCGCATCCAACCTGTCGCCGCTCTCTCAGCCGGAGGGGCAGGCCCTTGTTGAGCCATTTGCTATAAGCGAGGATTCTGGTGGGATAGTCAGTTATGTCGGAAAAGAGGAACCATCGGATAGAATAGCCCACCCCAGGAAGTTTTGAAACGCCTGTTTTATCCAAAGCCACTCCAATTGCATTCTCTCCCGCGGTAATTGGAAAACAGACGGCATGTCCCTCCACAGCGGCCGGACGAATGTACCCGGCAACAATCCCAAATCCTGCGGCATTTCCGACTTCGACATTTCCTTCCCTCGTGTCTTCATACTCGGTTGAGCAGGCTGCTTAGCGGCCATTGTCTGTGGCATCCCCCGCATCGCACGCTGGGCGATTGAGGATCGAGAAAAAGACCGGCATTGGCATGTTTGCGTTGTGATTGTGATGGCGTGAAAACCAGGCCTGGCGGCGGATAGTATGGATCCAACAGGCAGTCGCGATGAGGACGCCATGGCGGAGGGGGTTCCCAAGGGGGTATAGGGCTCTTGTCGATGTGAGGAACCAAAAGTGGTTGCTTATGATCGTGACGGCCGTGTATGGCCGCCGCGGAAGGATTGCATGCGTATCACGTGATGATCGCGGATTTACTCCTCATCTTCGTCGTCGTCCTCGATCTTGCGGCCACAGTTGCGTGCCTTGGGGGGTTGTCTAAGTGGGCAGTTCTTTTTCGATACGTTTGTGTTTATCAATTGTTTCTGTTTTATTGTTGCTCTTGTTGCACCGTCAGTAAGCATACTACTACTCCTACCGACCGTGCATGGCATAAGATAGCGTGAGCACTAACAGCCTCTATCCAGATACACCTCAGGCGTCCTATAATTGCTTTTTTTTATAATTTTTTTAGAGGGTTCTGTTGCACGGCGGCTGCATATGCCGTAGATTAAGGCTGGCTCCTCCTCGTCGTGATGCTGCTCCTCTGCCGCCTTTCTCCCTTCACGCCCAATCGCTTGAGCCTGACCTGATCCGCTCATCGCATTCACACATCAACAAACGAAGAACCACTCACACTCGCACGTCCACACAATCAGCCCCGACAATTCAAACCCCAGTGGCTTCCCACGCCAAAGCCGTGGCGTCCTCCGCCGCAGCGCCGTCCTCCCCGCCCCCCTTTACGTCCCATACTCCCAACGGTAATGAAGCTCAAGCAAGTCGCGCGGCCGCTTCTTCAGCCCTGCACCCGCGCGTGGCCGTCATCTTGGGAGTCGACCGCAGATGGTATGTGCCTCTGCTGGTCTGCCGCGCACTAAGCACGGCTCCTGCCGCATGGTGGGGGCTGCGGTGCGCGTTTACTTTCCTGGCGGAATTGCTTCATATTCAGCCAGGGATGGGACATGAGGGGTGGGCGACGGCGATTATTGGGAGTATTGGGCAGGATTGGGATGTTGAGAGGAGGTTTAGGGTGACGGAGGTGGCTTTGGCTATCATGTGGGTATGTTATGTTGATCCTAATCGGGGATTCCTGTGGAAATGAGGGTACGATGCTGATATCATGGGCTTAGTGCTGTGCATCCGCATATCTTTCGTATTTCTTTGCTGATTGCATGATGTCTCGATGGTGGGTATCCTGTCTCCCAGCTTATGTCCGAGCAAATGTATCTAACCTGTACACAGGCTTCTCAACTACACCCCACCAGCTGTGGTAATTCGTCTCCTTACAACAAACGGCCTGATTGCATACATTACTTCCTGGGTTCTCTATCTCTCCGGCGCTTCCTCCGACCCACGTCTTCTACTTCCAGCGTGGATAACAATTACAACGGTGCGGTCATCCATCAACCACAAATGACGGAAAAAGTCCAAGTCCATACCACAAGACCCTTTAACTGACAAGCAATCCCATCCTTTGATACATAAAGACCCTAACATTCATCTACCACGCGACCCAAAACCATGCCACGATCAAACGCGAAACGACCGCTTCCGTCCTCGTCGTCTCCGTCGCTAGTTTCGTCAGCATGTCCTCGCTTCTCTTGCAATTGCATCTGACTCGTGAAAACGAACCGGAGGTGCCTGTTTTTGTGATTTCGCGTAAGTTGTGGGACTATGCGGTTGCTATCTTATTTCGGATGCGGGTTGCGGATGGTAGGGCTGTGGAGAGAGAGCTGTAGATCGGCTTCTCGCTATTTTGCTTTTTTTTGTCTGTCTTCCGTTTTTCCGTGTTCTCCTATCTTCCGCCGGGGTGAGTTTCTTTCAAGTCGATTTCTCGGGCTTTCTGTTGATATTTGCTTCGTTTCGTGTTGATTTGAGCTTTCATGTAATATCCTTGGATCATGACATTTGAAAGGTGAATAATCTGAAGTACTTACACTTCCCTGTTAATGTAGCTTAACGTGAAGTAATAGGAATTCAAGTCACAACTGTAATGCATGAATGATAGTTATTTAATAGGGCTATGCAAACCCTCCGATTAAAAATTTGAGTTTGAAACGTACATTTGCAATGACAAGTTCCGACAAGCCATCCCAAAAGCCACCAAGAAACAATGATGCAGAAAGAATAACGAACAAAAGGAAAAAGTAAACATCGTCTATAATAATGGGTATCTATCAACGCCTCGTTCCATCATATCCCACTCTGAATAGCAGTCGACGAAGAGACCCGCTCTCCCACGTACCGCCAGTGAGCGACCACGACGGATCAATGAACAAAAGCGCGTCTTTCCCGACAAAGGCCCAAACCTAGTCTGTTGAGCAGGGAAGTAGCGCAAGGAGGATACGATGTTTGTCGAACTGAATGGTGCAATCGCCAACGGGGCGATGCAAGATCCAGGTGGTGGAAGGACAAAGATCGAGCCTCCTATCCCATTCTCAACGCGACATAGATCCGGGAGAAGGGACCGGAACGGGGCGCAACGACTGATCTAGAACCCATGGACCTTGATGGTCTTGGCGTCAAGCTCAAGACCTTCCTTCTTGTCGGTCAAGAACTCCTGAACATCTTTCCGCTGGTCTCCCTGCAACTGAATCACATCGCCCATCTCAGTGTCGGAGACGATGGTGCCATTGCAAGCTGGATGCATATTAACCTCACGTTTGTGGCACAGTAGGGCCGGGGGTTGTTTGTAACTTACCGAACTTCTTTTTGATCACCTTCAAGATCTTCTTCTGATCGAATTTCTTGGGAAGACCCTGGACCGTAGTCAAGGTCTTACGACCATTGCGCTCTGTAAAGGAATAACTCGTCAGTCAAGTGTTCCGATCAGACAAGAGGTGATGGCGGTCGCATGAGGGCGATAGCAAAGTGAGAGGGGGATTTAAAACATACGTTGAATCCGTATATGGATATAATTTTGAGACTGCTTGGTCTCGCCGGTATCTTCGTCAGCTTCGGCGAAGGGGTCTAAAGAAACATGTCAGCCTTGTGATCAATCTACCCCGCCAGTGAGAAAATGCCGCGCAGATCCAAATGGGAACAATGCCGACAAGAACCCCCCACGTGTCCTGATAGCCACACACATGGACGACCATCCACACATTGCGAGTACCCACGATAGGGTGACGTCCAAGTTGTTCTCGATCGGCCAAGACCAGGTACCCCGTGGAGGTGGACAACACCCCGGATCAGGAAAAAGGAGGGGAGTGGCGAATCGACTTACCGAAGGTCTTGAGGTTTTCGATGGACATAAACTCGGCCTTTCGCGGTAAACGGCCCTTAAAAGCGGTATAGGTAGAGTGGAGCGGGAGGGGAGATTAAGATCTCTTTGTAGTAGGAAAAGCTAGAGCGATCGGAGGCTCGAAATATGGAGTCGAGATGGGTTGTAGTGGGATGAAGACGAAGTGTTGAAGAGAGAAGGAAGAACAGAAGAGCCTTTTGAGGGGCGCTCTGGCATTTAGCGTCCCTTGGTTAGGCAGGCGGTAAGTCGAAATGACTCAGCCATCTTGCCATCTTCGATCCAGATCTGACAATCCGAAAACAGAAAAGGAACGAATGCGAATGCCCCGTGGCACCTCTATACCTATGGATCGCGTTCTATGTGGTTCTGTGCAATGCGATTATTGGTCCTACGTGCTTATTGTCCGGGGTTGAGTCCATCTGACTCATCCATTGATTCAAGGGTGTCACTGGTTGAGGGATGTGGCCAACGATCCGCCACTGAATATTCCATTACAACGCCCATGGATATAGTAATTATACAGCACCACAGTATCAACCGTGGCGAGAAGGGAATTAGGTAGACATAGAAACAGAGGGCAGCAAAACTGCAATGCGCCCAGCTTGGAGAACCTCTTGAAATCCGTACATGCTTCCGGCCCGATACCGTGTTGCAATTGTTATATTGCCGTTTCCTCGCCGAGAAGCACCTATCCTTGTATTATTATGACTCATAGCAGGGGTATTCAAAGGCAAATGACCTTAAGAAGCCGATGGTGCAGGAGTGGCGCCGGCGTTTTGATTCTGCGGAGGGAGAAACATAGGGAAATATGTCTGCGGGTAGCTGTTTAGAAGACGCTGGAATTAGGTGTCAACGGAAGGGATGATTAGGGACGTACCACGACCAAGGCCATAACTAAAAGTAGAAAACAGTGTCAGTCTACGAATGTCCGAAGATTGGGCTGGGTAACGTACAGGACATGAATACGGACATATATGCCGGAGTGGACGAAGTGCTCTTTTGGTCTTCAGTCTCACCGAGCCAGTTCTGGAGTGAGAAAACAAAAGAAACCCTGTGTCTGATTAGGACGTTGAGTCGCAGTTGAGTTATTATCAGCAGGACAGCTTACCATCCGATCATCCTGTATGCAACCGCATCATTATAAGCAACCCCGTCCTAACAAAGAATAACAACAGTATTGTGAACATTTCTCACCTGTTCCGGGTGAACATCTAACGGAATCCGACATCAGTATAAACCCTCTGGAGCTCCGGATAACAGCCAACTCACCGCAGCCATGGGCATGGTGCTCGACATTGCGCCTATAACCAAGCCATTAATACTGTCCTCCACGATATTTTACCATAACATCCGTTGACATAGGAGTTCCATACCGGACACATCGGCATCGTTCTTGCTTGTCGGGGGTTCGATATAGGGGATCGCTGGACGAGATTCAATGTCAGCAACTGTGACTGAGATATGAAGCCAAATAAAACACTGCTTACCAAGATCCAGCCTCCGCATGTCCTTTTTAGCCGCCATTTTTGTATTGTTGGAGATGATTGAGTCTAAACGCACACGGCTCAGTTGTTGCGACGGAGCGATAAGGAAACAGATGGCAATTGGCGATGCCAAGGCTGAAGCAGTAAGTCTGGCGGTCGGCAAACATTCCGCATTGATGTGCAGCATATATACTAGCATTCGACCAGTTGTACTCCGTATATCGGAACAGATAATAATCATTGCTGCAAGAATTGATAGAAAACGGCATACATATGATATATCAAATTGATATGCTATCAGGCATGTTGGCATTACTCAGTCGAGTTCTATTACTCCGTACAGCTGTACGGCTTTATTCTACTCCGTATGTTCCAGACTCGAGATCATCTTCTGGGCACACATCAGGCACTACTATGTATGGCATTTATACACAAGTCAGGTGTATGGCCAATGCAATGCATGGATAGTGTCAGCCCACGGCATCATGCCACCGGAGGCATAACAGAGCATACCCGGCGGCAGGAATCATGCGAGAGTTACCGGGGAATCCCACTGGCTGGCAACTCTCTTATGGCCTGATAAAGAAGTGTGATAGCACCATAAACCCTGAATATAGCGTAGATATAAATAAAAAGTACATCCTGGGAACATATACCCCCGTAGGAATGCCAACCCTTAGCGCTTATCGAGGTGATCTCCGGCACCAAAATCGGGAAAAACGAAACCAACCCAAGTGCTACAGAGACCTCCCCTACATTTCATTATCATTGCTAGCCCGTTGAGTTAGTTGCATATTTCCCTGTTGTGTATCCCGCACTATTTCCGCTGTTTCCCCGACCTGTTTTTATTCGGCGATTGTGACTGTCGCCATTTACCGGCCGAGTTCACGATAAGCCTGTCTTTCAGCTATCCGCCTCCCTTTTTCCCACTGAGTCGAGTTACTGTCTTTTATATCACAATCTGAACCTACGGAACCTCATCGATGACTTGACGTTTCTACCGGTCTATTTTCATCCCTCATCCTCAAATGATCCGAATTTCCGGCGCTTGGGTACACACCATGAACCTGAGATGATCCCTCTTTCTTCCGCCGGCGCCCAACCCCGGGGTCATCATCCCCTGCGCGCCGTCAATACTGCCTCCGGACAGCCGAATACCTTTCAGACCCTCGCCCAATCTGATGCGAATCTGCCGACGCCCGTGGCCCAGGCGCAATTCAGACAACACCCGACTGTCATCGACTTGACCAGCGGCGAAGATGCGCAAGAGAGGGAACCACCCGCGAAGCGACCACGACTAGATATACCCACTGGGACGTCCAGTGGGACTGCCAGTCCGGTGCCTGGTGTTGGTGGTATTGGTGGGGGAGATTTGAGAACTGCTCCGGGAGGTCCTACAACCCCGAGGCCACCCTCGACGACCTCGTGGCGTGGCAGGCCGGTCTGGTCGTTCCAGTCCTTGGTATCCGAGACACCAGGTGTGGGAGATGTCTATGGGGACAATGCGGCAGCACTTGCGCAGAGTGGGAAACCGGCGTCGCCGCCTCCTTTACCTACTCCCCCATGGCGATTTGCTCCTCAAAGACCCTCGAGTAGTAGGTCGAGAGATAGCTCGCCCGTGAAAGCGGTACAAACCACGCCATATCGGATTGAAACTCCTCCTGTAGCTCCAGCGTTGAAAGGCGAGAGTGAGTGTCCCTGCTGTTATCTAAAACTGACCAAAGAATACGCGTCTAACTGAAAGTTACTTTCTCCAGAAGTTGCGGACTTCTCGCCATGGACCGGACACCACCCAGAAGACATTCTCAACGAACAAACAGCGAAGCAAGGGTATTACGATCGCACCCAAGTCTCGCAAAATGAGTCGAACACCGCACGTCCGTCATTGTATGCCCAGTTGAAGCATCGCTCCGGATTGCAAATGCTGTCGTCGGTCTTCGCCTCCGCCTTCGAGAAGAGACAGGGCCACAACACCGTTGCTACTTCCTCGACCTTTAAGCCTCCCCCTCGAGTCACCCTGACGGATAATAAGCGTGAGAGTTGGCTCCGCGATTTGGCAAATCCAGCCGTTCCATTGCGTCGGCTGAGTCGCACCATACCTCATGGCATCAGGGGCAAGGTACTTCTCGACCAGTGCTTGGGCAAATGGGTGCCTGTGGCGCGAGCAGTATGGCTGGCAAAGTGTGTTGGTGCCAACGAAATCCGCGCATTCAAACGGAAAGGCACCAGTGGCCCATTGGCAGTTGGTTTGGAAGCCAAATGGGTTCGGGATTGGACTGTAAATGTGCAGCAGTTTCTCGAAACAATCATTGCTGCTTGTGGAACGGCAGACTGGAAAATGAAGATGACTTATGCAGTTAGCCTGACTGCTCGCCTGTTTCATGAGAACCTGCTGGACCACGACCACTACACCGGGTGGTTTTTGTCATGCCTCGAAGCGGCACCTCTCAAAACCCTGCCGGTGTGGCTTCTAATGCTGGGTATATATTGGGGTAGTATAATGCGATATAGGAAACGCGGGCGCCGACTAGCAGAGCTGCTACTTGCAAAACTGACTCACATCAGCAAATCCGAACACGCTGGAGCCCTCAAGCCGCTTATAGACCGTCTGTCTCTCTACGTCAAAAGGCTCATCCGTGAGCATACCTCTTCAGCTATACTTCCAACCTCTTGGGCTACTTATCGAGATCTTGTTTCTTCGTCTTTGAATCTGGACGATAAGGTGGACAGGGCGATTTTTCAAAACATCGCAGAACGCAATGTACGAGTACAACGGCCCATGCCCTGCCAAAGCGCCGCGCACCGTTCAGGACAACAGCAGCAACAATACATCATCCGCTTATTCGATTCTATACGTACTGCGCACGATATATCTTCAGTCTCTGTTGCCTGTCTAGACACCTTTGAAGACAGAGCTACACTTATACACAAGTTGTTGGAATGGACTGCCACTCCTTTCCGCCATGGCCTTCGTCGTGTATATATTGCTGTTCGCCTCCTACGGAAATGGAAGATGGCCGGTATCGACGTGGATTCTCATATCCTTGGTTTTCTCAGTGACAGCCCTAAGGCCAACGAAAATATGGACATGGTCTACCACGCAATCTCGGAGCTGGTCAGATCCCAGACGTTCTCTGTCGGTCGATATCTCCAGTGGCTTATGGCCAAGGGTGTGTCAAGGGATTCTCTATCAGATCATAACGTGAGTTATCCACTCAGTTTGCCCCGGTCTCACCCGCTCACAGAAAGGCAGATTATCCCAGGCGGCATCGGACTCCTATCGCAGCTTCCAGTGAGCCATCTGCCAGAGCATGTACGCAACCTACGTGATACTTTGTTGGTACGCGTTGGAATCGCTTCATCCGAGGAGGCTACGGTCATTTCTCAAGTCAAAAACTCTATCGCCACACGCCTTCCAAGAGTTTTTGGCGGTTACGAGGCCGATTGTACTTTTGAGCCTGCTTACCAAAGTTTGACGTGGGCAGTCAAGTCTGAAATTGGACAATGGGTCCGTCGTGCAGTTGCTCAGCACTGCCGGGACCCGACCAGGTAAGTCCCGTCTTATCTAGTTGCGTGTGTGTCACTAATTCTAATACTGTTAGGTCGGTATCCGGCGTGCCGTTCCTCACCGATTTGAAAGTGTCTTCCCTGACTCCTGACGAGTTCTACGAAATTCGTGGCCTCCTCGAGAGCTTTGGTGACATTTCCATGCTTGCAGATGTAGTCAAACAGGCCGCCAGCAGTGACGACAACACTGTTTTGGCCTCTGCTGCTGATACTGTCAATTACCACTGTGGTTCATTTAATGTTATTGGTGCTGCAACGGATCTTTTTCGGAGGCTTGTCGATGCATATTCGCTTCTCAAGCGACTTGGAACGGCAGACCTAGATTTGATCTATTCGCTCATCGAACTCGGTCTCCAGCTCCCCAATGAGTACAACACGGTTGCCATCCTTCGTCAAGATCTTTCTCGGATCGAGAACAGGTCTGCCCAAGCAGCACCATCACCACTTTCAGACCATATACCGGACACAGTCACTGAAACCGACCCTTCATTCCTTGAGAAGCTGGATCGGTTTCTGTCGTCAGGGGGTGGCATGGACGAGCAAACGATGGATGCTATATTCGATGCACTTACCAAGGTCCTCGACAAGGGCGATGGGCAAACGAAGTTGTCGGCCAATGACGCCTGCAGGTATCTTGCCCATTTGAGGCCCTTCCATCCGAAGCATTTCGATACCAGACTGGTCCGTTGGGTCTGCGGGGCTCTGAAAATGTCTGACCGGACCGAGTTTTTCAAGAGTCTTTCTCCACTTATCGGAGTGGGCTGCGTGACTATACAGGCTTTTTTGTCTCTGGTGAAGAAGCTTTTGCAGGTAAAGCCGACCTCTGTTCCTAACGTGGATGAACTGCAAATGGATCTCTTTGAGCTCCTTGCTCCTCCCGCAAGGCAGGATGGATGTCGTGATTTGGTATGTTCTCAACAATTTAGCTTTTTTTTTTTTTTTTTTTTTTTTTTTTTTTTTTTTTTTTTTTTTTTTTTAATTTTTAATTTTTTTAATCTAACTGGTCACCGTTTAGGTAACATATCGATTCTACCTGGCACAACATGAGTTTCGGACTAAACACTTGGAAGAGACGCTCGAAGTCATCCGTGGTGCTGTAGCTTCGATTGGACAAAATGAAGGACTATCGTCCGACCCAACACGGAATCACTTGGAGACAAGCATGGCCATCTTGCTCTGTGATCTGCTTACGAACGAGCCTGGCAATGCAGCTCAACAGTCGATGTTAAAGCTTACTGATCAGCAACCAGCATTTCTGGTCGCTCTGCAAAATGCGCTCGATCGCCTTCTTGGTCTCGACTCATCAGGTCAAGCTGAGAACAATCTGTCCGAGGCTGAGAGGGTGATTAGCATGACTAGCGACTTCTCACTTCCGTTCTGTCAGCTGAAACTCCAGATGCTTTTCAATGCAGCGTCTGGGGAAGAGGTCAAGAATGGAGTCGTGGATGTCATGTTCAAGATGGCAGTGGGAGATTCTCGTTCGAAGAGGTCCAATTGGGTTGGTCTAGTCGCCTTGATGAACCAGGATGCTGTACGACAGGTATGAATTATTGCAATCCACGTTTCTTACATTTGGACCAATCTTCTAATTTTAGCAGATTCGAGAACGCGCTGAGAAGGAGTTCTTGTCGGTTCCGATGCTGCCGCTGGAAGCTTCAGCGGACGAGGACGGGTTGTCTTCTGTCAACTACACAAACGCAGTTGAGACTGCAAAGATCTACTTGATGATCATCGAAGAACTGGCATACAGTGTTCCGGAATCTGGTGTACCGTCAATCGCCCCCATTCTTGTCGAAAAAATGGATCTTCTGCTCAACAAATTCGTGATCATGCAAACCAATTTCACGAATTTCGCCGAGAACAAGAACGATACCAATGGAGAGGGTCAACTGAACAAAGCCCGTTCGGATTTCGAACGAGGTCTTGCGTTCTGGTTCTCTGTCCTTCTGAGGATGGTTGTTATCCACCGGTCTGCATTCACGTCGTCTACCAGACCAACCAGCCTGCAGGAACAAACCCGCATCCTAATCTCAATCTTCTCCGTTGCACTCGCGCGCTTCCCGAACAGTCTTCTGCGCCTCTTCCCAACAGCTGATTACTTCCCACACCCCCACCAGCCCGGAGACTACCGGCCATGCCCCGGTATTCTTCTCCAGACGCACGCGTTAGACGTCGCAGCCTCACTAATCGACACCTTCCCCGACGAAGCGCGCCATCACTGCGCACGCTTCCTCAAGGAGAAATGCCCTCCTTTCGCGCAGTTCCAGAACGACTCGCGCTTCCTCTATCTCCTCGGTCCGCTACCTGGCTATGGCGCTGGTGCAAACACTGCACAACCAGTATCACTACCTTCACCCGCTGCCTCAGGCTCAACTCCAACGCCGTCACAAGCACAACCCCCCGCCGCAGCTGCGGCACCATCGCCAAGTCTATCTGCGGGATTGCCCTCAGCTGAAGGACCAAACTGCATATCGAACAGTCTCCGTCTCCAATACCGTGGACGGATTGTTGGTACATACCATATTCGTCCATGGGAGTTACTGGAAGATGCTGCCCCACTGGCGGGCGTGAATGATACCGCGATCAGCCTGCGGTATTTCGATGCCAGGCGCATTAGGGCTTGAATTATCTACATGATATATGAACGGATATTTGCATATCAGCCATGATGGGTGTTATTTTTTTTTTTTTTTTTTATTATGTGTTTTTGTAAATGGGTTTTCTTTTTTCTGTTTGATTGCATTATTTGTATTTATTGTTTCTTATCTTGATACCATATGCATATGTATGTTGCATTGTCTGTCTCTTTTGTTGCTTGCATACTTTTATATATACTGAGACGTCTAGAGTCTTTGCTACCTTCACCTTCTCAATAGTGCTCACTGAGCTTCTCTAATTATTATGGTCGCTTCAAGGCATAGAGATTCGATATCATGAAATTTTCGTAGCAGCACCATCGACGAATCTGAGGCTGTCGGCAAAGTCATGGCTATTACCACAAATTTTGAACCTGCTAAAGGACAACAGAAATAAGGTCTTGAATGATACTTGATTCTCTCTTGTTTTCTATTATATAAGCAACCAACCATACTAGTTTTCTAAACTTGTATGCTGATACATCACATAACACCCACGCACACGCATACCATAGATCATTCAAAAGACCTCAAAATATAAAAGGAAATCCTTGTCCCACAACGAGGGGCCAATTATTCTCGTCCTTTTTTTCATTTCCTGCTTCTTTCTCTTTCTTCTCTTTCTCCTTTTCCTCGGTGCTTTCCTCAGGGACGGTCTCTTCATCAATGGCAGTCTTCTTATCAGCCTGTTCCGCCTCCATCTTCTTCTCTTCCTTCTCGGGGGAAGAAGGCGGGGTCAGTTCATTCCCACTCGCAGGTTGAGTGTATTGAGAGACGGTGGGTTGCGCTTGCGCAGACTGGGAGCCGAGATCTTGGGAAGCCGTCGCAGCATAATGCTCCTCAGACCAGGGTGCTGGCGGGAAGAACATCTCAGGGTGGAGGGTCTGAGTGTGTGTATTTAGGTTGGGTGCTTCAGCAATGTGGTGGGGTGGCTCAGGGTAGCAGGGTGGCTCGGACCAGTGCGGAGGGTACCAGGATCCCTGAGCATAAGGAGGGTAGGTTCCCTGGCCGTAGGACCACTGATAATGTTGAGGAAGTTGCTCCTGAGGATAGGTCCAATTGGTGTAATTGGGGAAAGGAGGGAAAGTAAGGAAAGGAGGGGAAAGAGGGGGCACCTGGGCATAAGGTCCCGTGGGATAAGCTCCAGATCCCTGAGTATAGGGTACCTGAGTGTAGGGGGGCGGCGCCGGCGCCGGAGGGTAGTAGGAGGGCTGGGACTGCGAGTACTGTGGCAGCAGAGGGGAAGGAGGATAAATTGGCCTTATTCCGTGATCCGCTTTGAGATAAATGTCGGGATTATTTTGGAAATGCTGTAAAAAAGTGTTAGTGTTGGGACTTCGTCTTAGGGTATGGTGCAAGATCACTTACCCTCATTGCATCCTGGTAATCTCCCACAAAGGAGAAGACGACTTTGCTGACAGTAATGCCACTTGTAGTGCACTCTGTGGTACAATAATCAAGGGCTCCCCGTCCTAGCAAAGCTTCGCGTACAGCATCTAGGGTAATGGAATTTCCATTGCAATAGCCCATGATGCCAGTTCCTGTGAAATATACGTTAGCTCTTTGGGATCAGAAGCATCTGGACTAAGCTTAACTTACTTATCGCTTTGCTCACTTCAACACGCAGCAGGCGGCCATGGAGCTGCATAGTATTATGCCATGTCAAGGCAGTTTCGGCATGTTCGGATTTCTATTCCTAGTTAGCAAGGATAATGAGACATGATTAAGAGACTCCACAACTTGCCTCAAACTGAACAAAAGCAGAAGGAAGTTCTTTTTTCCTATCCACATTGGTCTTAACGTAGCATGGCCCAATTGTAGAGAACTTTTTCTCCAGTTCCTTGCCTTGCTGCTCAAGAGGCACTCTGGTCGAAAGACTGGTTAGGGTTAGCGTTGTTATATTGGAAGCGTAACTGGAATCGAATACTTACTTTCCAACAAAGACACAAGCTGCAGGAGGGAACAGGCCCTGAGCATTGCTAGCCGTAGGGGCGCAGTTCTTCCTGTCACGACGGATTGGCCTATTGACTGGGCTGTTGTGGCCGCCACTTCTGTGGCTGTTATTAGAACTGTGGCTGGGACTAGGGCTAGCGTTGGCACTGGTGCTTTTTGGGCTGTTAAAGCCGTCACAAGTGCTAGTGCCATTGCCGTTGCTGCTGGCGTTAGGATCGTTGTTGAAATTGCCGTTTCCGTTTCCGTTGGCGTTGGCGTTGGCGATGATACTTCCATACTCGTTGGCAGTGCCGTTGAGACTGCCATTGCCATTTCCATTGGCGTTCATGTTGCTGTTATCTTTGCCATTGATGTGGCTGTTGGCTTTTGTATTGATGATGAAAGGTGCAACTGCGGGATCAAAAGAAGGCATGATAGGTTTTAAATGCTAACGAAGCGAGTAGCAAGTAGACCAATAAGCAAGTAGATAAAGAATGCTGCACGATCGAGAATAAGTAGAGTGAGATGGATGGTGAAAGCAAGAACAGAACAGAAGATAGGCGGATATTTCTACCCTTTCAGTAGGCAACAAACGTAGGCATCCTCTATATTTAATCGGAGGCTATATAGCTTTATCATGACGATTCCAACGGACTAAGTATGGTTCCTGGACAGGTGACAGGACTATGAGCGGAAGCCTGAACCAGACAAACCCTTCTATCGGGCCCCGAAAGAGAATAAAATTAGCAAAAAAGAAGGCAGTCTCGTGACAAGGAGGCAGCCAGCCAGTCCTAAGGCAAATTTTAAGCCTGACTGTAAGAATTTTCTTCGGAGCCTCAAAACAGAAAATGATGACGATAATGAGAGTCAAGACCGCCAGGCTGACACTGACACCTTGAGTCACAGATATCTTCAAGCCTTGAGATGAGTAGTTCTGTAGAGGAGTCGTATATTTTGAAACAAACGCTTGTTAATCAAACGAAGTTGGCAGTTGTAAGAGCACTGTTGCTGTCCATTGGCAAGGCCTTCAATTGAGGCGATACAGCATGTCGATGAAGCTGAGTGACAACCCTAAGGCAGCGATGTTTCAGCATCTAACGAAGCGAGGATGCTGGAAGGCTCTTCTCTGACGATAGATGGGATTGTTTAGCCGACAAATCAACATTTCGGGGCTGGTAGTATCGTTTTTGAGCCCTCTTCATGTCATTGTCGACATTTCGTCTACCCGGATAAAGAATTATCTTCAAGTTATCCTCACTAAGCACATCGTTCTGACCGAAGGTGGAAATCCCTTTCTAGGAACATATAGAACCCCAATGATTCGGAGCCAGGGACGAGATGCAATCCCCTGAAGTGAGCAGTGTCAGTTAACCTAAAGCACGCTGACAGATACGACGACTTACTTGACAACCAAGAGCAGACCATCCATCATGTGTTTGACTGAGTCTTCGCGGTGGCGATAGACACTTTCCCCTCGAAGTCGGAATTATCGATCTTATCATCGGCTGATCGTCGATCAATTAATGCATCGGGTTTAGCGCCAACCGTCGGAGGGACATCATCCTGCAGCTCTCGGCTTCCTCTCCTCTCCGTTCTTCATCCTCCTTTCTTGTCACCTCCACACACTCGCCCTGGGAATTGTGAGCTCTCAAAATGTTTCCTACAGCCAGATGCATGGCTGCGAAGCCGGCCGGCTTCTTCAAGCGCAGCGCAGACGAGCTCAGTCGCCTCTCAAAAATCGGTGCGTCCTGGCTTCCATTCCCTGCGCCCTGCATCCGCTAACACTGTTGGTCCATTATACAGCTTGGAACACCGAAGGCCTTCATACTCCTACGAAGCCGTATACGATGCTTGATTTCGAAGATGAGGCGTCGGTCGCGGGATGCAAGACAATGGCCGACCGTGCCGTCGGAGGATTCAGCACAGCGAGCTTGGACTATGTACCGGAAGACTCTACCTCGAACACACCTGGTCATGCGAGATTCCATGGGAGTATTTCGACAAAACTTCCTAACAACTGGAGGGTGGAGCGGACAGGTATGGATTTTTGGTCGGTGGCCGATAGCGGGGGTGGGAATTGACAATGTCGTAATTGAACAGGATACGCTGCGTTTCGGAACAGAGACCGAGGACTTTGGCTTTTTGGTAGATTGTACTGGGATGTTGACCCATACGCCTACCTGGCCCTCCGTGTCAAGTCCGATGGTCGACGCTATACCGTGAACATCCAAACCGACTCGATCGTCGAGACCGATATCCACCAACACCGATTGTACACGCGACACCACCGCGTTCAGAGCCGTCCTCCCTCTGACGAGCATCTGTCACCACACACGTCAGCTGAGGCATCAGAATCAGCTGAGATTGCTGAATCTAAGTACCCCGAGGGCATCCCTCCGTCACTGTCGGACATCCCGCCCGAGTCGACCGTCATGTCTTCCGCTTCAGCCACCACTTCCGGCTCGACAGGGTGGGAAACCATCCTCCTGCCGTTTAACGCTTTCGTTCGCACAAATCATGGCTTTGTCATGGAGCCACAGACCTCCCTGCTCCGTCAACGGGTGAAGAGTATTGGAATTGGTCTCACGGATCGAGTCGAAGGGCCGTTCGACCTACGGATTCATCGCATGTGGGCCACGAATGGCATTGGCGAGCAAGAAGCGGAAGAAGACAGACTGATTTGCGGCGCAGATGCACTGCCTGTCGACGAGGGTGTGCGGTCTGGTTGGACGGACAAGGGTGGTGTAGAAGAACAACAGCAGGAGAGGCCAAAAGTGAAAGGTCTTAAGGGACTCCGTTCGGAGTGGGACCAGTAAGGACATGTCATTACGAATAAAATTGTATTATAATTTACCTTTTTTGGGGATTGACAGAGAAAGTACTGTTGTACAACATTTCTTCTTGTAGGCCTAGGGTTCGTATCTCTGGTTTATTATAAACATCCAGCTCAAGATATATAGAACGGCGCAGTGTTCCTGACGCCTAATCTAGTTACCGCCAGTGATCTTCTCCCACGCCTCCTTGTACTTCTCGCTAGTCTTCTGTGCAACCTCCTCGCTCATCCGAACACCCTCCTTGCCTTTCAATCCCTCCTGGACAAGCCAGTCTCGCAAGTACTGCTTGTCAAAGCTCGACTGACCACAGCCAATCTTGTAAGAATCCTTGGGCCAGAAGCGGGACGAGTCGGGAGTCAGAACTTCATCTGCCAGCACGATTTCGTTGGTCTCCAGGTCTAATCCGAATTCGAACTTCGTGTCTGCGATAATGACGCCGCGTTCAAGTGCGTAGGCATGGGCGGCCTTGTAGAGTTGAATGGAGAGGGAGGCGATTGCGGAGGCGTAGGGTTCGCCGATGATGTTAACGGCTGTAGTAAATACAGTCAGCGAGGACGGGGATGGTGGCCTGGAGTTACTCATGGGGCTGTGTACCTTGGTCTGGGTGAATGTTCTCATCATGCTCACCCTGCTCAGCCTTGGTGCTGGGGGTGTAGATAGGTCCATCGGGGAAGGACTCGCTCTCCTGCAACCCGGGAGCAATCTTGATACCATGCACAGTACCCGACTTTTGGTATTCCTTCCACGCAGAACCAGTAATGTATCCACGAACAATAGCCTCGATAGGGAGAATCTTCAGCTTGCGCACCTGCATGCTCCGGTTTTGGAGCACCGGCCGCAACGACTCGGGGATTTGCGGCGGGAGATCGAGAGTAAGGAAATGCGTGCGCAACGAGGGAATGGCCTCAGTCAGGGTCTTGAACCACGTTTGTGTGCAGAGAGTCAGGAGGACACCTTTGTTCGGGACACCCTGTTATACCCTTTCCGTTAGCCATCGTCAACATTGATTGCTGGTGAGAAGGGAAGACTCGCATTCTCCATAATCACATCGTAGGCGGAGATGCGATCAGTCGCAATGAAGAGAAGGGTCTTTTCGTCAACTTCGTACAAGTCGCGGACCTTACCCCGGGCGACGAGAGGCAATGCACCCTGGAGGTCTGTGTTGGTGAACGCTTCTGTCATGATTCCGGATTTTGCGATTGATTGAGGGGTTGATTGGAAGTCCGATGTAGGAGAATCGATAAGATTTTTGGCGGGGCATCAATTGACGCCTCAGGCATTAACACGTTCCTCACATGCCAAACGCCGTGCTTGTTTCTATCCAGTCGATCAAAGACAGCGTTCAACAAGATAACACATTTTCAAAGGCTTGCGCTTCTGAGTTGCATTGACATGATCCATTGTATTATTTGAAAATAATAACGCCATTGAAGCGGTGCTCTCGACGCGATTTGGTTACATCACGCGACGGAAGCTTCATAGTGTCGAGCTTGCCCTTGTTCAACACCATAAGCTGAAACGGAGATGCCAATACTATAACCAAGATGAGCCGCTATCTCACTCCATCCAAAGTTGCACTACTGTGCCTCATCTCCATCTACACAGATGGAGTGGTCCCGAACTCCTCCGCCATCCATGTCCTCTCTTTCCTGGTATCGTGTCTATTCCCCATAGAAGACACGGGAATCTCCACGTCAAAGAAATGGGAAACAGACGCCACAGTCTCAATCTCAGATTTAGAGAAGATCCTTTCCGCGCAACCATCCTCTGTCCCGGGACGTTCGGTATGGGATCTGTTCCTCAGGAAGATCTGGTCCCTCGATTCCTGCGATGCACTCGAGGTCTTCTTCGCGGGTATCTCCAAAATGCTAGTCAAGACCCGTGAAGAGCAGATACGTGATAGAGACAATGGCCTTGCTCCTGAACCTGAAATGGGCCCTATGCGACTTTCGAGGAACTCGCCTCTGGGCACGTTTGTGAGAAGAGCTCAGCTTGAATTCACGAGACTTCAGTTTCATGACTCGGTTAAGCTATGGAAAGGCTTTGTTAAGTATCGTTTGCCGACATACCGCGTTTGGGCGAAGAAGAATCCGTCGAGCGAACAGGCTTCTATCGATATGAATCTTCTTGAGCTCCAACTGGATGAAAATAGTTATCTTGCTCAGGTTGTGTACGGTAATATGGATGATGACACGGAATATGAAAGGAACGTTAGCACTAGAGATGTGGAGCGTTTATTGGAGTTTCAGATTGGCGAGTTGCAGAGTATGTTGTTCTTCTCTATTCTGATGCAAAATTGCTTCTAACAACGTGCAGGACTGGGCGGAAGAGTTCCGGACGAGATGAAAGCGCAATTAGAACGCATCCTATCATCAGGAGTGACACTTCCCAACTTGACCCACTATCTCAAGTAAGTTTCCAATTCGTGCCTCGTACCTGAACAGAAGCTAACAGCCTAGATTCCTCGATGCCTGGAGAGCAGGAGACTATCCATCATCATTCGACAACCTCCATCGTTACTTCGACTATACCATGCACAGCCGTGACCGGAGCGCGTACCAATATGCGCTGCTTAACCTGGCTATCCTTCAAGCTGACTTCGGTTGTCATGGAGAAGCGGTTTCTGCTATGCAGGAGGCTGTTTCCATTGCACGAGAATCCCACGACGTGAACTGCCTGAACTTCTGCATGAGTTGGCTGTATCATTTTGGCAAAGCATTCCCGGAGCAGATGAAGGATGTCCAGAATACGGGTATGCTTGGTAATGAGAAAGAAGGGCTTGCGTTCTTGAAGGCCAAGGCCAAGGAAACTGAGATGTGGAGTTTATTGAGCACTACGTTGTTGAGTGAAGCTAAACTCGAGATGCAAAACGTGAGTTTGCCGTGCATTGGGAAGGTCAAAGTTCTAACGATAATAGGGAGAGAGCCTTGCTTCGGCTATCGAGAATATGGTCCGAGCATCGCATTTGAATGTCACCAAGAACCATGTGAGCTCCATGGGGCCGCAACTACTTCTGCAAACTGCACTTTATGCGCGGATAGGTACGAAATACTGAGGACGATGCTATTTTCATTGCTAATTATCCACAGGGGTTACACATCTCTCATGGCTGAGCAGTGAAATCTTCCGAGAATGTTATGCGAATAATGCACCATTCGAAGACTACCTCAGAAGCACCTTTCGAAATTGTCAGCTGGTAGGTCATTAGTTGTTGCCCTTTGAAAGTCAATCTACTGACAATACACAGCTAGCCCAACAGGGCCGGTATCGTGACGTGTCGGCTTTGATGAAACAAATCGCACCCGAGAAACTACGCTCGCTCAAAGCAAACCAACAATGGACTTGTTTCTCAGGAATTTTACAATTACAGCGCCAAATCTACCGGTAAATATACTACCGCTTCCACCAAAGCACATACACACACAACTAACAACCCCCCTAGCGACGACAAAGTAGCAGCCGACCACCTCGTTACCCAACTCCAATCCATCCACCTCCCCGACAGCGATATTTCCCCTCTAATCTCCTTTCTCACTATTGAACACCAAATCCGCCAAGGCAATTATAGCCAAGCCCTTGAAACCGTCGAAAAGGCCGCCCAAACAATGCACCAAGACAACTTCGACATCCACTTCCAAGTCAAACTCCTTTGCCTGAAAGCCCGCATCCTCGAGAAAACCGATCAGCCACAGCGCGGCTTCTCGCTGGCCATGCGGGCAGCAAGTATCGCGCACGGCTCGCGACTCCTCCCGGGTCTCTGGGAAGCTATCTGCGTGCTGGGAGGGGTTTTGCTGAGTCTGAGCGAGTTCGAGGCTGTTTCTGAACTTGTCGAGAGTATTATGCCGCGGGTTCTGGAGACGGATGATTGTGATCTTGCGGCAAGGGCTTATTCGCTGCTTGTGGATGCAAATATGGGCATTGCGGGGGTTATGTGGAGTCAAGGGCAGGGGAATACACCTGCGCGGAAGGAGTTTGTGAACCGCGCACTGGGGTATATTGATTTTGTGTATGATCAGTACGAGGAGATTGAGGATATACAGGGGCAGTGTGAGATGATGGCGAAGAAGGCTACGGTTATGCATCTTACGGGGGATTTGGTGCTAGCTAATGATTATGCGGCGAAGTATTTAGATCTGAGGAAGCAGTGTGCTATTGAAGTCTAGATTATATGATGATCTTGTCCCAAGTATCATGATATCCTCTTGTTTATTGGTTTCAATGTCTGCAAAACGGACGAATGCCTGAGCTCGAATTACTAATGCTGACCGGGACTTCTTAATCATATGATCCAATTTGACATCCATGGAATGCGCCGGCTCATATAAACAGAATCAGAATTGATGTATGATTGTTCGAACCGATATGAAGAGTAAAATTCTAGTAACAAAAGAAAACTGTAGATTAACAGTGTTGCTAATTCCTCTTCAATTCGTAATGAAAGCCTCCCATGCTCAATTCTGGCTACATTCTCCTGGAATCTTTTTCGATAAATATACATGTATCCTTCTGTCTAGATCCGAGATTCGAGAAGGCTGCCACTGGATGCGCTCATGTTGGGAATAATTTAAGTGGGCTTGTCCTTGTTGTGGTAGTTGACGCTCGAGTTCCAGCTGTAGAACCGTTAGTAAACACTCATTTACCCAGAGTAGCGCGTCAAATCGTATGATATTGCCGTTGCAAATGTCACAAATGACAAACCAATTGCGGCAGAGATATCCGATATCGACCGAAAACCAAGGAAAACTTACAAGATAGTCTAAAGACAAGTCAGTCAGTAACAATAACCAAATTTCCGAGGATAAAAGAAAACCTACCTTGTCACCATCTCCGAAGGGGAAGTTCTTCACACGGATGTTCTGGTAAGGGTACTCGGTGCGCTCCTCAAGCGGGGTGTCGTGGGCCCAGTGCTCCCAGTGCTCCTCCCAGAGGTTGTAGGCGTTGATAGCGGCGAGAATCACGCACGGAGGGACGGCACTAACAGTCATAATCGTAAGTACGATGTCATCAACGGACGAACGGCAGGGTATTTCAATTGTTGCGATTCGGGTAACGGTTCAACATACTAGAGAGAGAGCTTCCTCCAGAGGTCTAAAACAAGCAAGAAAACATTAGCACGTGCACATTTCCCAAATCCACCAAATTAAATGTAAATACGCACCGCTAGTCTCAGCAGCGTGGTGCTTAACAGCAGCCCGTTCACGGTTGAATTCGTTGTCGACGGCCCAGGGGAAGTTGCCCTGGGTGCTGTTGGAGCGGCGCTGGCCGGCGGCACGCAGCTGCTGAGCAGCGCGCTGGGAGAAGCGGAAGACGTTGCGCTGGGGAAACATGGTGAAATCGACGCAGGCGTTGCGTTCTGTTTTGCGATATGACGGTGGGATGGGCGGACTTGCTCGGGCGGTTCGGGATTCCAGCACGAATTGTTGGCGACCGCTGGTTTTGGTTTAGTGTGCACTAGCCACGGGATAGCGTCAGCCACAGTACGATGTTAATCCGTCATCTAGTCACGTGTGGTCATGGGGGTTGTGGCGGGTGCTATCTCCTTGCGGAACTACATACTATGGACGCGTTTCGAGAGCACCATTGGTTGAAAGATTTAACATTGTAATATAGAAACAACACGTTTTATTTCTTATTTTTTTTTTCAAGGCGCGTTGGTTCGTGGCCGGGATGGGATTTCGCATCACAACATGGAACGGTAAGTGACTTTCTCCAACTGTTTAGATCTCGATAGCTAAATAAAGGTAGTTAATGGGATACGGTGCGTATTGAATCCATGGAGGCTCTTTTGATGCTTTGCTAAGCAGTCGAGTCTATAGAAACCCGTTCTCCTATGAGCCATGGAGAGGGAAGCGGTCATTCGAGGTATGCTCTGTACGGCTTCATCCAGAATCTCGATTGACAAAACAGGCGATGTTCGATACATTGGAGGCAGACATTGTCGTTTTTCAAGAGACCAAGATCCAGCGCAAAGATCTCCGAGATGACATGGTCTTAGTTCCCGGATGGGATTGTTATTTCAGTCTGCCCAGAGTGAAAAAGGGTATGCGCGACTGCTTATAGCTTGAATCTAATGTTTTAACCTTTCCTTTCTTCAGGCTACTCCGGAGTTGTCATCTACACTCGCAATGCCAAATGTGCGCCAGTACGCGCAGAAGAAGGCATTACTGGGGTTCTCTGTCCACCCAACACATCAACTCCATTTCGTGAACTCCCTGGAGAGCATCAGATTGGGGGTTATCCGACCTTAGAGCAGCTATATCAGTTTGAAATCGAACCAGCAGTCCTTGACTCAGAAGGCCGCTGCGTCATTCTCGAGTTTCCAGCATTCGTTCTAATCGGCACGTACTGTCCAGCAAATCGTGATGAAAGTCGCGATTCATTTCGTCAGAATTTCATCGAAGCATTGGACACTCGTGTTCGAAATCTGGTTGCCATGGGTAAGAGGGTATTAGTGACTGGAGATCTGAACATTTCCAGAGGAGAAATCGACTCAGCACACGCGGGAGAAGCAATCCGTAAGGGAGTCGCGACGGAGGACGAATTTGTGTCTGCTGGGGTAAGACGGATCTTTAATCAGCTGCTGTCTGATGGGAAAGTGATTGGCGAGCGGGACGAAGGACGAGAGAAGCCAGTTCTGTATGATATCTGCAGAGCGTATCATCCAGAGCGGAGGGGTATGTATACGTGTTGGGAACAAAGGCTCAACGCTCGACCAGGGAATTTCGGTGCGAGGATTGACTATGTCCTGTGTAGTCTTGATATGCAGGAATGGTTTTTTGATTCGAATATTCAAGAGGGTCTATTGGTAGGTTTTGATTTTATTCTGAAAACTAACGTTGGTAGATTGCTAATAACTGCAGGGATCTGACCATTGTCCGGTTTTTGCCACGTTTAAAGATTCAGTTACTATTGATGGGAGTTCCGTTAACATAATGGATGCCATGAATCCTCCTGGAATGTTCCAAAACGGCGAACGTCAGCAAGAATACTCAACCAAGTACCTCCTCCCTATATCCGGACGGTTGATACCGGAATTTGATAGAAGGAGAAACATCAAAGACATGTTTGCACGCAAGCCAGTGCAAAGGTCGAGTACTGTATCTACGACTCTAGAACGGACTACTTTGGTTCAGGAAAAGGAATCACAATCACCCGCAATATCGGATGAAAATAACACACCATCTGTCCAAGTTACGGAAGACACAAGGACCACCAAGGGCATTACTCGCAAGAGAAATGAGGAGAGTCAATCTACACCGACCGCCTCAATGAAGCGCACAAAATCGATGACTACACAAGCACCAGCTCCGTCAACGCCCGGGCAAAAGAGTCTTAAGGGCTTTTTCAAGCCGAAAAGTAGTCCCTCCAAGCCATCTGCCACACAGACCTCTGATAGCACAGCCAACGAACTACCGGAATCCCCCTCCAAGCGCAGCATTCCATCCTCAAGTCAACCCGAAGACACCCGACCCCCAACCAAACCCCAGGATCCATTCACCGATGAACACCCCTCCTCCGCATCCCAGGAAAGCGAAAGCGTAATCGACCCCATCGTTAGCAAAGAAGACTGGTCCAAACTGTTCAGCAAGAAACCGCCACCCACGTGTGATGGCCACGAGGAACCTTGTATCAGCCTCACGACAAAGAAACCGGGCGTGAACTGTGGGAGGGCATTCTGGATTTGTCAAAGGCCGCTAGGACCGAGTGGGAATAAAGAGAAGGGCACGCAATGGCGGTGTCCGACGTTTATCTGGGCTAGTGATTGGAATAGCACTGCGGAGTAATAGGGAATGAGGTGTTGTGTGACCTGGGGTATTTTTAGCCCTTTGTCTTCTAAAATGACACCCTTCTTGTCATACTGTGGCGCTAGAAAGTCTCAAAGTGGAGACCTTGTTTCCACTCTCGGAAATAGCAGCTCTTCTATTACCCGGGGTAGAGAAACGGGAATAAAGGAAACAAAGAGAGGTACATGACAAGCAGCTACACGAGATCTCGTTCTGCTTGTCCCTGTCAGCATGCTGGGCTCTGATAGGCGTTAGCCGCTGCAGGGTGAAGGAGTCCCTTCAAGTACATTATGCAATGCAACCTGTACAAGAATCCATCACCTGGGCACACTGGGGTTAAGTCGATCCTGGGCGTTTTCGAAGATCATGTCACATATGAGGTAGATTAAACGTTTTAAATTGTATGTTCAGACGGTTCCCGATGTAATCTACATATAGTGAAATCAAAAACCGCAACTCCCGAAAGTCAAAAAAATGCCACAACCAGAACAAAGGCCTCCGAAGCGATGGTAGTACAGAAACGATGATGGTAATACAAGGCTCGTGGCACGCGCCAAAGGGTAGGAGTAATACAAGAAAAAGAATGGGGTTAGGGAAGAAAAAAAAAGGGGGAGCCGAAAGAAGCAGTCGAAAGGAACCACGTTCCGCTACTCGAGACCAGCCCAAGTCAATATCGAATCAAAATCAGAAACAATCTGCGATATAGTCCGAGAACTCAAACGAATCCACCGCTGCCTGCTCCGTAGGATTCAGCGGTTGTAGGAACATATCTTGGTTCTGATTGTTTCGTAGTTGCTGTACCATGGCGTCGAAGCTGACCGTATCGAAGTTGAACTGCCCGTCTTGTAGATCGTTGGGACCGAAGAAAACGTTGAACCCGGAGAGATCGTGGTCCATGCCGTTTGCTACTTGCATTGCTGGTGTCGAAGCGGTGGATAACGTCGCGCCCGATGTCATTGACGTTGGTGATTCGGCTTGGGGGGTGTATCTTGTAGTTGTCCCTGCTCCCACGGCTCCCGATTCTGGTATTGATCCCAATCCCAATCCTATCCCAACATCGGCGTATGGCTTTGCTTTCGCGCTTGCTGCTGCAAGACCTGCTGCGGCGGCTGCTTTCGAATGTTTGGCGTATTGGCGTGATGATGCTCGACGTTTTCGCTCGCATGGTCGGCGCGGTGTATATTGGTAGTCAGGGTACTCTTCGGCATGTTTCTTCTTTAGGTCATCTGCCAGTGCCTTGTAATGTGCCCTGACTTCTTCCGGTTCTGCTTTCCACTGCTTCCCCAGCATGATGGCTGTTTTCGTTAGTCCAATCGCTTGAGAGTCGGTGGCCTTTTTACTTACAAATATCGTTATTCTGAAAGTCAGGGTACGCTTCTTTAATCTTTGGGTGATGGTGTTGGCGGTAAAGGATAAAGGCATTTGGGGGCCGTGGAACTTTTGCAGTTTTTGAAGATACTGAGGGCTTCTCCCGCTGATTTGTCGACGAACCGATTGGAGCCTTCTTTGGCAATTTTACCAGTGTGTCGTGAGATGCGACAGATACCGTAGATCCCGAAAATGTAGGGGTGCGCATAAGACGGAAAGCATTTATCGACTCATCAATGAAGCCAACAACGGGAGCACCAAGAAGTGCACTGCAATCATACGTTAGCTTGCAAATCTACTGAGAAAGCCTTAGCCCGGGGATATTAACCTGAGACGAGATTTTATCTTGTCGACATTATCTTGGCCGATCATGTCTCGCACATTGGTTGGAAGAAGCACCTCGTTGTTTGTATATTTCAAGTGGCACAAAGCGTCCTTCCAGAGCAGCTCTGTGACTGTGTCTGACGATTTGGTTGTTGGATTCGTAGTGCGAGGTACCGTAGCCATTTTGCCGTTGTATAACGAAATGTAGATCTCGAAGCGAACGGTCAGCTCAAGGTCGCTTTCTCAACAGATTGAGGCCTTGGAAAGTCGAATGAACACAAACAGGCACTTCAAAGATGACTTCGATAGAGAACATGTCTGAGAAGAAGTCCAGAATAGTGAAGAGACAGCGCAAACGTTGCCTCCGACCCCCGAGGGGTGGTTGGCGCATTTCTTTGTTTATAAGTGAATGGTCCTGAAGTCACCTATTACTCGACGCCCCCGGTCACCGTTCGAAAGACAAAAAAGAAAAAAGAAAATACGGAAAAATAAAAAAGGGAATTTTGTTTTATTTTTACTTTTTTGCTTTTATTTCTTTCAACTTGTCGCTCGTGCGTCTCTTTATCCCTATTGAAAACACGCCAATCTTCATCAATTCTGTCAATCCTATCAACGGCCTCCATCTCTACGATTATGCTGTCGTCCAGGATGGCCAATGGCCGTTTTGCACTTCATTCCAGCCATTGCCAACTCTGAAGGCCATCCAATTGAGCTCTATGGTATTCTTGACCCCACCGTTCAAGGTTGGATATCTGGCGAACAAGAGTTTGAATATCACAGGGCTCTACTCGCCATGGAGAGAAGGGCGAACGGACATCTCGCACACCTGACACAGAAATATTACATTCATTTCCAGGACCGGTCTCCAACGGTACTACATGTCGTAAGTCATTTCAACAAGAGTATACGACCTTGACTAACGATTTCCAGACGCATTGCCGTTGAGAAAGCTATCCTTTGGGGGCACGACCCCCATGGAATCGAGGAGCGTATCTGGACCCATAATATTTGCTATGAAGCATTCGAACACCAGCTTCGTCTGAGTGATGCAGAGAAAAAGGTCCTGGTAAATCGCAAATTGCTCTGCTCGAGACACAATGGTGTTCTGTACGTGTTTTCCTTCCGTTTTTTTTTTTTTTTTTTTTTTCATCGAAGCTAACTAGTCCCCAAGGCATTGACTAGAAAACAGCCGTACGGCCTATTTTGCAATGCATGCTTGCATCTCGTTGTCGGACAAGCTCTGCAGCAAGAACGCCGGTCATAGCACTCAAGAATCGGACTATTACACAGCAGAGTCTTGAGCTTCCCTAGGGCTGAGGATGCTTCTCCCGTGACCTCAAGTTGCATTCAGTATGTCATGGTATACGTTCGACAGAATCATGGATCACGCATGGGCTACTTCCCCCATCTTATGACCACCACGACTTTCGACCTCACTTCTCGGTTCGGTTCTATATCATTCATTTCAATGGATTAAATGTCTGCGGCATGGGCATGTTGGGTTTCGGTTTCTGTATCTGCTTCGTCTTGTTGGATTCTAGAGCTCTCAGAGGTTGCCCATTTCCAAGTGTCTCTTAGCATGCCTCACTACCCGCGTTCTGTTTTGTTTTGTTTTTTGTCGAATTTCTGTCGGGGGTTTGGTTTGTATCTATTTACTATTTATTACCACTACTCTGATACAATCGAAGCCGATACTGAGGGATCTGTTTTGCTTCATTCCCCCTCTTGCGAATCCCTTGTGTAGGAATTGAGATGGTTGGCGAAGCCCTCCGTAATTCTACAAACAGTGAATCAGGACATACTACAGATGTCAAAACTACGGTTACAATGACGTCTATTTCTTCTTTGGTTTCTGGCTAGATCCACCAAACAAAGAAACCCAAAACGCAGAATAAGTTCATAGCAGTATCTGCAACGTCACCGTAGCTGCCACTGTCACCGTCACCTGCTATGACTGGAAACGCTATCACAGGGAGTCGAAACACACAAACCGCCTCTTGTTCATTGTTGGACAACATACAAACATGGACTCGTATCGCCCCTCATGAATCAGCAAACAAATAAGCAATGGCATGCATACCAACACAACCGAGAGTCACGGTGTTTGACGGAAACGGAAGTTCAAGAAGACCAGACAAAGAAAGTCAAATTGTTTGAAGAAAAAGCAAACAAAATTGGGAAATGCGGATCATCAGTTCAATTTACCACTCACTGCCAGTCAGTCAGTCCTCCCTCTCACACATTGGGACCTCCTCAGGAGCAATCCAATGCAATCCAAAACATCTCATCAACTTGTTAGTGAAGCGATGATACCCAACAGATTCAACCCTTGTGATGGAATGATAAAGCAGATCATCCAACTCCCCCACAATCATGTGGATTTCTTTTAACAAACAGTTCGCTGGAGATTCTGATTGTGACTGTGGCAACCCCACAGCTTAGAAATACCATGACCCCTTTTCTCAGTTATTGATTCAATCACTTTCCAATATATCAAGCAAGAGAAACGGCCCTCATGTACTATTAGATCCTCCATGGTAGAAAGGCCACCATTGTGGCTTGTCATTATGACTTCTGTTCTGGTGGTAGTGAGAAATATTGACTTTTCAAAGGTAAACACTGTCCTGCCTCATGCTAGAGCAGGAGATGATGGCTGTGCAAGACTTCAATGAAGTCGATGCTGGGGGAAAGCTGAACATGCAGCTCCTTCTGTTGATATCTGCTAGGGAAATACCAGTCGAAGATACCCATGTTGTCGAGCTGTAAGTAGAGTAGAGGTGCTCTTAAGTCAAATAGGCAGTGTTCCATATTAGGCACTAGCGTAGGGCTGAGAGTTCAAAGACAGCCTCACGACGTAAACTACGTAAAGATTATCCTTCCAACGTGAACACCCCAAATTATCTTCAGGATTCAACACCGGAGGGCTACATGGCAGGCCAACAGACTGTCCCATGGTCCAACCAACATCGACGTATAACAAATTTGATGTATGTATTGATATTGCATCTACTGGTATATTTAAGCCCACGCAAGAGTCAAGTGAAGAAACAAGGGTTAGGAGAAATCCCACAATCGACGCAAAACAAGCAAACGAAGTAAGAAAAAGCAAAGTATCAAATGGCCACCATCAGATCACTGTACGGAATACTTGTATACAACCTAAACTAATCCTCCTGGTACGAAATCTTGCGCATCTCACCCAGACGTTGTCTAGCCCGAGACAGATTGTTCTCCAGCTGCAGAATTTCAACCTGCAACGCAGTATCATCAGCATGTGTCTCGGAGAATTAAGGCAATAAGAATTAAAGAAAGCGGGACTCACCTGCTGCTCCATCTCCCGCACCTTAAACTCATGCGAACTAAGCGCCGCATAATCCACCGTCTCCGTTTCATCCTTGTTCCGCTCTGAGATGATGTCCTGCACCTGTCTTACCAGCTTGCGACACGCGACACCAACAGCCTTACTAGCGCCCTCCAACCGATCTTGCGTCTTGCTCATGAAGCTAGCCTTGACGCGACTAGCTGCGACCAGCTGTGCCGTACTAGCGGCGACATCGTTACTAGCCACGATGAGTTGTTCGGGTGAATTGCGGCCCGAGATGACGCCGTCAGCCGTCTCGATGAGGGTGTTAGTTGAGGACGCGACGGCCTTGGCCGCGGAGATGAGACCTTCTGTCCAGCGGTTATTTTTCTTGTAGAAGGCTGTCTTGGAGGAGCTGCCGCGGCCCTCGCGGACGATTTCTTGCTGTGTTGCTGTAGCGGCTTTGATGAGTTCGGCGATTGCGGTTGTGACTGCGATTGCGGCTTCCAGAATCGAGTCATTGATGCGTAGCTCGTAGGTTGAGAAGCCTTCACGAGGCTTCTTCTTCATCTTGGCGAGACGCTCTGCGGCGGCTTCGATTGCGTCCGCGGCTTTGTTGAGTTCTTGGTCGACCAGGTCGCCCAGGTCGCCGCTGGTGTTTATCTTGCTACTCTTGGGGGCGAAGGCGTCGACCAGCTTGGACAGGGACTGCAGGTCGCGCTGGACTTCGAGGTTGTTGTTTATCACCACGTCTGTCTTCTTCAAGGCGTCCAGGCCCTCCAGACGGAATGACTGGAGGCCACGGAAGAACCGCACGGTCGCTTGTGCAGACTTGCGAGCGCCGTTGGTGAGCTGGTCGGCGCTCTTGTCGTCGTTGGCCAGACGTGTCAGACCCTTGGTGTTGCTCAGCACGTCGGCAACCGAGCCGGAGAAGTCAGAAACGGTGCGAATGATCTCAGCGTGCGGGCTGTTCGGACCGTCCGCGATGAAGTTGTTGAACGCCGTCGAGAACTCGGTTGCAGAGGCAGAGGCCTTTTCGATTTGCGACAGCACGTACGGAGGAGACGCGTTCTGGTTACCGGCCTGCATGGAGGAGTCCAACTCGTACAGAGCATCGTCCACACGCTGCACACCCATCTGAAGAACAGAGTCGATAATGTCGTTGATCTTCGAGACAGCCCCGTGCAGAACGTGGTCAATCTGCGTATCCAACGCTGTGTCGGTATCACCTTGGCTCTGCAGAGGTTAGTAGCCGAATCATTTCCCGTTAGTCTAAAGATACGTACCATCTTTGCCTCCTCCAACTCTATGAGAGCCTGCTCCATTCCAGACTTATACACCTCAATCTCCTCATCCTTCTCTTGAAGAGCAAGCTCATGCTCCCGCTGACGCTCGCCAGTTTTGGACGAGTCCTCATCAATAGCACGAGACTTATTTCGCAGAGCCTCCTCCAGATCAGCCATCTCGCGGTTGTACTTAGACAACAGAGATGAAATCTCAGTGCCCTTCGACCGCTCCGCATTCTCCGCCCGGTCAATAGCAAACCGCAGCTCCCGCTTAACCTTCTCAAGCTCCTCCTTGTTCGTCCCAGTGAGACGGTCCCGGTCGTGCAGGGCACGGTCACGCTCACGGATCATATCAGCCAGCTCCAGGTTCTTCGTCTTGAGCTCACGTTCCAATTTCTCCCGGCGGTCGATGGCCTCTTGTGCCGAGGCGGCCTTGATCTTAAGACTCTTGGTTGTTTGTAGGAGATCTAAGTGCTCGTGACGGAGTTGAGAGTACAGCTTAGCTAGGGCTTCGTACTTGGCACGCCATGTGTTGACCTGCTCCTGCAAGGAGCGGATCTGCTCGTCGCGCGAGGTGTTCTGCATATTCGTGTTCGTTAAGAGCTGGTTCATCTGCTCTTCGAGATCCTTCACACGGCGGTCGTACTCTTGCAACATGAGCTGGTCCCGCTCAAACTGTGCACGCGCGTTGAGGTTCTCGCGCTCAAGCTCGGCCAAGCGGCCCTGCGTATGGGACTGGTACTGCTGCTGCATAAGCTGCTCCTGGGCTAAACGCGCTTGCTCCGCCTGCAGACGCTGTTGTTCCTCAAAATCGCGCTGAGCTTGTTGCTGCATGAGGAGCTGTTGTCGTTGTTGATCCTCCCACTGCTGCTGAAGACGCGCCTGCTCTGCCTCATACTCCTCCTGTTGACGCTTGGCTTCGGTGCTCCAGAAGTCGTTTATTGGCTCGGGCTCGACGGCGCGCGGCTTCGATGGCGGCGTTGGCTCCCGTTCCACCTCCTTCGCTGGTCTTCTGGGAAGAGCTGGCCGGTCATCGTCCTCGGCCAGGAGGTTTGGCGGGTCTTGAGGCAACTTCGGAATGGTAATAAGACTGGTAAGGTAACGCAGGTTCGAGCACTCGTAATAGAACCGAACAAGGCGATAGTGCTGCGAGTTGTATCGACCCCGAAGCGGCTCCAGCGCCTCATCATCCCCAGTAGTAGTATGCATAGCCCTCAACATACTAGTAATAAACTTGTAAATACCATAGCTCTCCTGTACAAGCGGCACCAACGCCGAAATCCGACACTCGTTGTTCGTCCCGGACAGAAAATGCGAGAAAATCAGCTTCTGGAACGCATCAATCTGATCCTGCAGGTTCATGAGATCGTTAATCGTCTCATACCCCTCGTTCGGATCATTGATCGACTTCAAACTGATATACTCCTCGTACTCAAACAGGCCGTTAAACTCAGGGTGGTCCCGGTGGAAGGTCAGTTTCGACTCGAGAAAGAACACATATTCCCGGATGAGGGGGCCGTATCCGCGGATTCCCTCGCCGGCAACACCGCGCATTAAGCTGTCCACCCAGTTCACATGTTGTTGTGCTTCGCGGACCACAATCGGGTGTCCTTCCTGCAGAACCTTGTGTATCGTGATGAGGGCCTTGAACGTCTGGACTTCGTCGGCGAGGACAGGTTGTCTATTCGGATTGACAGCAGTTGTTAGCCGACGCCCACCAACACCATAATTATTATACCGTCACATACACTTTCATACCAGCCCAGAAGGCCGCCGATGACTTGTGGTCCCATGTGTAAACGATGCAACTGCGGACATGTTTCCCTAGACGAATCAGCGGGGTGGTTCGGAGGATAACGACAAGGAGTTCGTACGTTTAGGGGCGGTTTCCTCTATAATCGCCAGATGTTAGCTTCAATCCATCTAAAACCGGACAATATAACAGCAGTAGTCACGCTACTCACCAATACTGGTAGCTTTGCGAATGTTAATCGCCAAATCCGCCTCCGTGCTGACCATAAGTTAGCTCATTTTCTCCCTTTTGTCTTCCTCTCTTCCTCCCTCGAGATTTTGTAGCGACATACCGACTCATTTTGATGATGCGATTCGTCAGTGTCGCGGAGGTTCAGGGGAGTAGAGAACGGAGCGGAGTACGGGGAGCAGTTGTAATAATAGTAGCTAGCTGGTGGGCCCGAATCCCGAGCGGCCACGGAGAGCGCTGACGCAACAGAAGCTCTAAACAGAGAATCAACGGAACAGAACACTACTGAATAGAGAAGATAAGGAAAGAAAAGAAGAAAAACTGTTTAGAGAAATGACGTTGAAGAACGTTGACGCCTGCCGAGTACGTACTGCTCCCTCGCGCTTGGCAACAACAACGCGTGGCAACCCTGCCCAATCCCCAGTCGGGTACAGGGTCTTCTGGAAGCAAACATGGTTCGGGCAATATAACCCTGTTATTGGAGGCTATAATTATGGCTGCCACTGGGATTGCAAGCTACATTCGAGGTCGCAATATCGAACCGGAGCATACAGTATATTCCTCCGTTATAGTATAGATACGAGTAGGGAGAGGATTGGGTAGTTATACTTCATAATCAGGCACGATTGAAGTTCCCACGCAGTCCAGCTTTACAAGTACACATATAACCAATACGCCAATTATCATGATTGCCACAAATGTATCGCAGAACACCCGCTCAAAGTACACAAATGCCTGCATTGCAGAGCTACCACAAGATCGATAATGTTGTTTATGGAAAGAACCCATCCGTTGCCGATAATATTTCCATCCCATGAGGTGTCGACGGTCGAGTCGCAGGTGGAGTATCCTGACTAGCCTCCTGGCGCTTCGACTCTTCATCTGTCTGACTGTGGACATCGTGGCTTTCAACCGGAGACTCAGACGGTTCATCTTCGACAGCCTGTTCTGTACCCTGCCCCAACAACCCCTTGCTATTAAGGTCAACAACCGGACTGTCTGGCCCCGAATCAAGAGGTGCTTCGATCACCAACAAGTCTTCCAACTGGTCAACAGATTCCTCGGAGCTCGACACAGGCTTCCGTCTGGGAAGTGGTGGTTTTGGGACCGGTCTCTTATTTCCCTCACGCTCCGGCAGTGGAGGTGGAAGGGGCTTCCGTTTAGTCGAAACGGAGTTCCTTTTGAAGCCACCATACCTGTCCGGGTGTGGCAGTGGTGTTCCCGGAGGAGGGAGAGGATGGCCACGTCCAATCGGTTCTTCTGGAGTACCGGCAGGCCGAGGGGCATCCTGTCCGGCATTCTGCTCTCCTCTGCCAAGCATATTAAGCCCCCATTTCTTCGCCACAGCAGTCGCTTGCCCAAACGTGATAGAGGCTTGCGATTTACTGTCTTCAGAAGGTGTCATGGTTTTGGCGAGGCTATCGAACGTGCCGCGGCGTTTTGTCTTCGCGCTGCCTATTGACGTGGTAGTACCTACTGACGTGGTCGAGCTGCGGGCAACGTTTGTTAAGTTGACGGACGAGCTATTTGGCCTCTGAGAAGATGGAGGGCGTGATTCACTGCTAAGCTCGCCAATACCATCAAGGGACTCCAAAATAGATGGTTCGCGACTCGGAGGCAGGGTCGAGGACACCTCTGGGGCAACCAAACTTTCCGTAGCCGGGGTACTGGCGGCGGTTTTATCTGGCGAACTAGGTGGAGAACGGTTGGAGATCTCGATCATGGCACTGGTAGCACTACTCTTTTCCTCGCTCTTACTATCATTAACCTTGTCGATTCTCGCATTGTCCGCCGTAACCACGGGATCAGCAGCGTTGGAAAACGTCTGAGATCGAAACGCTCGTGGCAATGGAGCCAGCTTCTCAACACCAGACGAGGATGCAGTCGGGCTATTTGGGTCCTCAGGGATAGACGATTTGGAGCTTTTGCGGGATTTCACAGCCGCAGGAGCAGGTTCGGAGAGTACCGGCATACTCATTGTACGGTCATCTTTTGACTTGAGCACGTTCAATGATTCATCCTTGTTGCCTTCTTGCTTCTGAGATTCGTCTGGAATAACTGAATTCGGATCATGTTTCGGGATTTCTCGCTCCCAGATTCCTCCACGGAACGGCTGAGAAAAGGTATCGAGGAAGGGAACATCATCCCAGAACGGTAGAACGACACTTTCGGCAATGACTTCTCGGATCCTGCTCTCGATAGTGCGGAGGATAATACCGTATGTTACTTGCTTTGAGCTGACAACAGGCTCAATATCCATCACCATGTTCGGCATAGTTTCGAACGACATCCACATTCGGTTGCTGGGAGGAGGCTTAAAGCGAAGTAACATGTGACCCTCGAGCTTTTTCAATACTATAGCCAGAACGATGTCGACTTCCCTAGCCTTGAAACGGGGTCCCAAGTCGATGCGCACCGTGGCGGAGATTTCGACCCGGAAATTGCCGGTATATTGAAGGTCTGTTTCGACGCAGCAGTTACCATCGACTGTAAGATCCTTGAGTCTTGGGTTAGTGATAAACGGGGCCCCTTCACCCATATCGATTTTTCGCAAGCCGATCTTGCTGATGAAGTTGGGTTTGTTGACCCGAGAGATTTTCTTGGTTATCTTTCCCCGTACAAATTCCTCCATCTCTGGCGTCTTGTACAAGGCGAGGAACAATCTACCAAGCACCGCGTTGATCCATCTGGTTTGCAACTGCTCCTCTGAGGAATGCAACCGCTGGACGAGCGTGACAATATGTCTGGTATCGAACTGCTGGCATTTAGGTGGCCTACTGTCCGGATCCCACATTTTCGCCTGGTTCTGAAGCAAGGCAAAGTAAAAATCCTCTTTCTCTGACAAATTCTCTGCAAATAAATAGAACGGAGGCGTCGGACCACCCAAATCACCAAGGGATTCCAGTCGTCGCGAGAGACAGACAGCATTTCGCTTCAACCAGAGCTCACCTTCAGGAATCTTCTCCTCTTTCTCGCCGCCACAGATGCTCACATCATGGTGAGCAAGCGAAATTACATATCGCACTTCGACTTGGTTCGCATCATCATAGAGCATAAGATGGCCATGCCTATTCCGGGATAGTATGCAATTAGCGTCCCGTGGGGTACAACGACGAGAAACGAAGGGAGGTATACCGAAGAACAATATAGAACACATTCCTAGCTCTCTTCCCACCCTTCCCATTCGCCTTCGCCGGTTCAATACTCGGTGTCTGCTTTCTATCGAACAAACTCCGGTACATAGTCTGATAGACGCTGGGGCTCTCCGCGGCGATCACCTCCCCAGCCGGTGTAGTCCGCTCTGGTGGTCTCCCATTGACCCCACCAGGGACATACTCGCGACAAACAGCAAAATAACCCGCCGCGACATCTGACTCATGCGTGCGATGGAACTCCTCGGCCAGTGCATCCGTCCCGGACTTGAGGCTATCTTGGTCATCGGTTGGGCGGTGGAGGTCTCGATCTCGCGCTTGTTCCCATTGCTGCTGTTGTTTTTGTTGCTTCTGAGATGGCGAAGAAGGAGTGTCCGGAAGGGAGAGGTAGATAAACAGGAAGACCAGCGACAGGACTAGAGGGAGAAAGGTGAGTCCGCCGAGGAGGTATACGAAGAAAAAGCTGCCGACTGAACCCATCGGGACCAAGTGGATTAAAGAGGCAGCAACGAAAGCTCCATCATCATAGAAACAGCGATGCTGTTTGCCTTTTTCGTAGTATCTGTGACACTTAACTCACCAATACCTGAGCAGATAGAGATGGACAAGTGTACAAGTACTCAGAGTAAAGGTGTCGTTTCGCCGAACAGGCCGGGCGAGTCGATGAATGCATGGGAGTATCCATACGAGGTAAGGACGTAAACCGCCCGCGGGCCAATCAGGGACCTCAGCCCCTCTGCATGACGGCATCGGGAGGGGATCATTGTTGGTCCGGGAGTCACGGGTACTTCCGCTGGTATCATTACAGTAACTGGTACGAATCAGTACAGCGGAGACCCCGGAAGTACAGTAGTATTGAGCTTCATCTCTATGAAACAGTTCCGTTACCAGTAGATTATATAACTCTGGTACCACAGTTGTATTCGATGCTACAGGTACAAAGTTAGTTCATATCAGAGGGCCAATCTTATCAGCGAGTGCATGAGCATCCTGTATGATATCTAGATCTATTTCCATATCACAGAAAGACCGATACTTTTTCTTTTCACATACAGCAATAAATAAAACATAAAAGCATACACATGAGGCATAATAGTACAAGGGATATTCCAAAACAACAACGCCTATATGAACGGCGCTTTTTCGTGTATAAAATGGATGGTGGTGGCGTTTCCTCTACTTCCGTCGCTTCATGGTCTTCTCGCACATCTCGATTAAGCCAGACCTGGCTGCGCTGTCAGGGAGGTCGCTGATGGCAGCGATAGCGTTATTGGCGTAATCCCGGGCAAGGGCACGGGTCTGCTCGACACCGTCGCTCTTGTGGACGATTTCACGGGCCTACAAATTACAATTAGTACCAGATTTTAGGTGTTCGAAACAATTTCAGAAACTTACTCTCTGCACATCTCCCTCCTGGGAGAACTTCCGGCCAACCAAAGGACCAAGCTCAGGGTTCTGCTTCCATGCAAACAAAAGAGGAGCAGTAGCAAGACCCAGTTCCAAATCTGCACCGGCAGGCTTGCCCAGCTCCACCTCAGTCACAGTGTAGTCCAGCATGTCATCCACAAGCTGAAACGCCAAACCTAGGTTACGGCCGTAAGAGTAGGCAGCCTCAATTACCTCGGGGGCACTCTGGCTGAGCACCGCTGTCGAACGGCATGACTTGCTAATCAAACTAGCAGTCTTCAGATATGTTTTTTGCAGGTAGTAGGAGATGGTCTCGTCGGTGAAAACGGGGTTCTTCTCGTCCTCTGCCGTGTTCTTCAATTGCATGAACTCGCCCTCAACAAGGTTGGCAATCACTGTGCCCATCAATTCCGTCACTTCAGGGTCACGTAGACGTGCCAACGCAACCGAGGCGCGTCCCAGCAAGAAGTCACCAGCCAAAACCGCCATCTTGTTTCCAAATTGAGTATTTGCTGAGTTGGATCCCCGGCGGGTAACTGCATTGTCAATGACGTCGTCGTGAAGGAGTGACGCAGTGTGAATCAATTCGGTAATCTCAGCCAACCGCCGTTGAGACGGGAGGATGTTCTCATCGCCTTCAAAGTCGTACTTCGCCTCGGCAGACCGAGCCACGAGCGGGTTCGTATCCGGATTCAAATCAGACAACACCTCGGACGAGGTAATCGAATCATCGACCGACGGCGTATTTGAATTCGCAGAAAGTCGTGGAGCTAGCGCAATTGCCTGGGACATAAGCAGGACCAACATGGGCCGCATGTGCTTGCCTTCGCTCCGGGTATAGTACTTGGCGACCTTATCGAGTGTAGGATGCCCTGAGCCCAGTAATTGCCGGATGTTCTTGGTGAGAAATTTGAGTTCCTTGCCCACGATTCTTAACGGGTCTACTGAAATGCCTGGTGGTGCCTTGGGCAGGCCCTTGAAGATTGTCTGAGCAGCGGACACGGCGGCGCCGAATGGGGGTGCATCTTTCCGCCTTGACGGATGGTATTTCCGGGACTGCAGCTGGATTTGGTTCGAGAGGTCATTGCGGAGGCATTGCCGACATATCGAGGTCGAGGATGCGGCTCGTGGTGAGAGGACTAGCCCGGAGGCCGGAGCGGTTCGAACTTTCATAGTAAGAAAGTAAGACAGTCAGGTCATGGAAGACATGAGAATTGAGCAATAACTGTTAATATCAGTATTCAACAATTGAACACGCTAGAATTGATAGCTGAGACCGGTTGCGTGCTGGTGCGGGAAATCCTAAACCGGCGGAAGATTTCGAAAATCGCGGCGGAAGTGGAATCGGACCGGTACGGAGGCTCTGCGGAGACATCTTCCCACAAGCTCTACAATCAATGCCCATACAAAATGGACAGAATACAATTAGACATGCTTTAAATGGACTACAAGTCTAAATGGAGAGAAAAAAGAAATGTTCAATAAATAAATAGTCATGCCAACAACGCTAATGAGCTCAAGCCTGCCCATTTCCCCCCCCCCCATCGTACACACCGAACTGCAAACAATCCTGCCCATTGATAAAAGCGGGCCATAATGATTATATCCTTCACTTCCCAGATCATTAAATCGCATCAAAGTCTCCACCAGCATCTTCATCGTCCATGTCCCCTTCCTGAATTTCCTTGGCCAACTCACGCTCACGTTCCCGGGCTTCCTGCGCACTCTTCAGCTCAAGACGGTGCTGGTTCATGGGGAACCTCATAGCCTATTGGAGGGGGGAGTGAGTTAGTCACTGTATATAATCAAGGTGTAATCATTGCCAGAAGCTTACCTTGACGCTCTCGTCGTGGAGAGCCAAGCATGCCCGGATACGCTCGTCGAACACCTCACCAGGCTCTCTGGTAGCGTAGATGTCACCAACTTCTTTGCTCTTCATGTAACCACTCTCGTGGTCAAGACTGGCCTCAATGACACCGTCTCGAATCGCCTTGGCAACAATATACTCCGCTGACTCTTCGCTATCCAAGCCCAAACGGAGGCAGATGTCCCGCAAAGAGATGCGAGAATAGGACAACGACATCATCCGAATACCCGTTTTGATGACGTTCTGTCTCAAACGAAGAATAAGGGTGTACGTACCATCCTTTCTGAACGTAGCGGTATGTGTGTTGACGATGTTCAAGAATCCATCCAAGTCACCCACACTCACTGACTGAGAAAGGAGGAAGTACGGGTGCATGGCGCGCTCAAGCGCGGGCTGTCGAAAAATCGCGCGGTCAGGGATATCACCCATCAGCAGTTCGACGACTACCAAGAGCTTGTGCGATGCTTGGTAAAATCCACGCGCAATGTTGCTGGTAGGCGATTTCCGGGTGGCTCCGATCAAGTTGTCGTGGGCGTCAGTGTACTGCAGCTGGATAGCGCGAATACGGCCCAGGTAGTATAGATACCGAGCAATCTGGTTGTTGGATGCGGAAGCGGGAAATTGGTTGTGCGAGATGAGCAAGTCAGCCTGCGAAATGTGAGATGTCGACAGGTAGTTGCGCAGCAGCAGCGTCATCACTGTCGCCTGGGTATCGGCATCCTTTCGAAGAACAGCAGTCCTGAGCGCTGCCAGCAGAGGCTGGCGGATGGACGTGACCGTGGCTGCAGGAGACGGGGGAAGAGGGGCGATTTGCTCGAAGAAAAGGGAGTAGTAGAAGTAAACGCGAGCAGCGAGCGAGTCAAGAGTGCGGCGGTTCAGTGTGCGCATACGTTCGATCAACTCTGTCGAAAACTTGGCACCCTTTTGGATGTCTTTCTTGTCATACAGATAGATCTGGGCAAGGATGGACAAGTACGTGTCCACCTCTGGCAAGATCTCCTTGGGAGAAAACTTGTTCTTTTCCGAGTCGACTTCCATCTCCGAACTAGCCACGGCGCTTTCAATGGCACCAGATCGATCGATGGCGTCAAGCAAAAACGAAGCCGTGAGACTCGATGGCGGGTAGGTCTCCACTATAACTTCTGAAATCACATCGGCCGTGATGTGTTTGCGCATCGAGGATATCGATCGCAAAACGCGGAGTGTAAATCTGGGATCGAATTGGGTGACGGCACGCTCGAGGAGGGCGAAGTTGGTCTTGATGTCTGTTGTATGGAACAATAGGTTTGTGCAACATTAGCCATTTTTCCTTCTTGCTCCAATATATAAATAGGGATTGGACAGTACGAATAGACTAACCTTGGATGGCCTTGACCTTGGGATCAACCTTCGGCTCGGACTTGGACTCATCGCCCTCGTCCATCGCAACATCACCCTCCTTGTCCGGACCTTGACCGCCGGATAACCTCGAACCCTTGGTAGGGGGCACTACAACAGTCATCTCGTCACCTTCCCGCTCCTTCCTGGTGTTGATTGAGGATGTAGGCCCACCTGCCGTATCCTCTCCCATCTCGACATCCTCAGAACCCTTTGCACCATTCTTCGTCGGATCCGAGCCGTTAGCCTGTCGTTGATCGCCCTTTCCCATGTTGGAGTCTGCGGAGCTATTTGTCGATCCGGCCTTCTTGGAAGGAGCAGCAGATTTGGACTTGTTAGCAGTAGAGCGGGCGGGCGCGGGCTTATCCTTGTTGGAACTTGGACACTGTGAGTTGCAATGCGCTTGATGATCGTTAGTGGAACAGGGTATCTCTGACTTGCTGTTTGATCTCAGGGAACGTCTCTCTGGCATCTTTCCAACTTTCGAGCTCGGTTTAAGCAATGGGGTGCGGTATCGGGCACAAGAGGGAAGGGATCTCAACACAACCGCCGTCCGTAAGACACCAAAAGAAGTGACTTTAATAAGAGGCGACGAGAGACAGAAAGAAACCAAGCAATCAAGGCAAAGGGGAATGATAAGAAAGGGGAAAGTTGAGAAGGTGGTGAAGACGGGTTGATGAGGTGATGTCAAGAACGGGCGTTTGGGATGGACGCAGACAGAACAGCACAGGGCTTAGTCAGGCACTGGAGGAAGCTTACTTATTGAGCTGCGGAAGATGCCTTGATAGCGGCAGGATATTTTTTGAACTTGTGGGAGAAAAATACAGTGGTTCGATAGAAGGTATTTTGACCGGAGATCAGTCGTCGTAGCTTGTGAGCTCTTTGCCTTCTTCACTCGTTCCGATTGCTACGCGTTGCCACCTCTCAGTAACTGTGGACGCCTCAGGCATAAACCTCCGCTTTGCTTGGCAAAACAACAATAATGCGGCATACAGCAACTTGTATGCAATCAACTGTCAGACTTCAAGCTCAACATGTCGTTGCTTGCAAATCATTTGGAACAAATTGCTCTCTCTTCCAATGCTATCTCTGATCTCTCGTAAGATCCGGTTGTCCCTCGCTCGTTACAATCGCATGCTAACCAAAAGATGATCTCCAGATTCCCCCCGCCACGGATCTTCACGAACTCGTTGCTGAGCTCTCCCGACATTACGGCTCTGATCCGTGACACAGAAGTTCATGAGCGCGCTCTTTTCCAGATTGATCCGGCCGCAAAAACCTCAAACCCGTCCCAAAGACGAGCAACCCGGCGGGGCACCACCTTTCAGCCCGAGGCGGAGAGAGAATCAATGGCCAGTCGGATCTATGCTGCAAAGTACAATCGAAACCAATCAGCTGTAGCGAGAGTGCTAGGATCAGATATGATGGAAGAAATCAGACGATCAACTGGCACGTCAACGAGAGGGCCTCGTGGTGAGGTAAACATTGATGTTCTGCTAAGAGGTGCAGAGATACTTTGCAATGTCTAGTAAGTATTCCACTCTTTGTCTACCCTGCTCGTTAATCCGACATCTGACCGCGTGATTAGTCCGGTTGCTGGTGCACAGGACAAAATTACTAGCCTTCGATACCGTCACGAGATAATCTCGAGCTCCATCGCCAACCTGGAGGAACGGGTAGCGAGAAACACGGACGAATTAGATCAAATGAGAGGCTCCTATGGTGATTATGACGACTACGAAAATCCTGTCCTCTCGCAAGCGGCGACTCCAGAGGTTACTGACGATGATATTGAGCGAGAACTGGAGGAGATCAGAGAACTCGAACGAAGAAGACGGGCTATGGAGGCTCGTGTCACAGGCATGGAAAGAGACCTGGGTGGCTTGATGGAGTGATCCTGACATTTCTTGCGATGAGCATACTTACGAACAACATTTGAACTGGCCTCGATGCCCCGGATTAAACACCCTGGTCTATTTGGGATACCTTCACCAGCACACGCCATGACCCAACTGCCTCCGCCATCTAACCTCCCGCTGCTGATAAGGTCTATTGCGTGGTCTCTTATTCAGAAGGTACTGTTTCATTAATCCACACGAAGCCCACTGATTCGACTTCATCTGGAGGTTGCAATGATCACATCGACCCTTCATGATCTGACAACATATATATGCCTACAGGGCTATATCGCGCCAGACTGGTGATATTTAGAGGATACCAACCCCTGTCAGTCCTGCTGCCATGCTGTCAACACGTGAAATAGGATGCGGATATCATTATTCTGCTAGATCTTTGCAGCAAAATGCAAAGATTGTTGTCATATAGCAACTTCCTTGTTAGCTCTGTGTTCTTGGATGAATAGCCTAGTTCAGAACAATGAGACGAATTTTCGAGAGCAATATAGCTTACTTGAAATGAACAAGTGAATAGAATTAAAATAGCAATTAAACAGCAATGATGGACGATAGACTGTAGTACTGTAAAGGATGCCAAGCCTGAGGCTCTTCTCCGCCATCGCTGACGATCCAGCATCACCTCCGCGTCCACTGCTGCTGCTTGCGATCCGCGACACTCTTGGGCTTCGCGTCTCACGTTCGGTGTGCTTTGCTGTATCTGTATGCGATACGATTTCATTGCATTTTCTTATTCGATTCCATTCGTTGATTCCTTCGTGAACCCGCATTATCGCTTCCGAACTCCCCTACCGACGTCTAGACACTAGCCATCAGCATACGTACGACCTTGCCTCTGTCTCTCGCTATTTCATCATTAATCGTTCGACCAACATGGATGGCTCTCAGCCGCAAGCCAACCCTTCGCAGAACAACCAACCGATGGTCGCACCGCAACATTCGAATTTGATCCGGACCGACCAAGTACAGAAACTGCCGCACCTCAATGAACAGCAAAAAGCGCAGCATACCCAGATAGTACGCAGCTTCTGGGAGATTTTAAACACCCGGGATCCGCAGAGTACCGAATACCAATCCGCGCATCTTAAACTCGCGCAGCTTTCACAGACATTGATGAAGGGCATGAGACTCTATCAGGCAAATCGCCAACAGCAGTTGCAACAGCACCAGGCGGCTGCTGGGGTGGCACAGGGTCAGCCGGTTCAGCGCTCCCAGTCAGCAAACCCACAATCCTTCGGACAGCTTTTGCCTCAGATTCAGCAGAAGGTTAACAGCTTGAACTTCTTTTTGCCGCCGAATATCAGTCAGGAACAGATCCAGAGTTGGCTGCCGGAGGCCCGGTTACGGTACGGTATCGCGCTACAGAAACAAGAGCTCGGGCGGGTACGGATTGCTGAGCTGCGCCAGCAGTTCAGTCAGCGGCAGGCTGCGGGCAATCTGAGCCAGGAGGAGGTGCAGGATTTCAAGAATCGGCAGCTTGCGTCAGAGAAGCTTTACCGTGAAGGAAGCGATTTCCTGAACAAGTTCAAGGAGCAGCAGGAAGGGTTCAAGGCTCAGCAACAACAAAATCAGCAATTCAACCGGACAAACGTTCAAAACGTCCCTCAAGCGCAAGTGCATCCTGCCCAAACGGGAGAGCCAGCCGCGGCCGCCACGCCAGTGACTGCTGGTAGTGACAACCGCCCTGTCAACGCCGCTCCAGGAACAATGAATCAAGCACCTACCCCAGCGCCCCATACTATCAATTCCGCTGTGAATGCAGCACGAAATCAAGCGGGGCAAGTAGCCATGACCCCAACGACTTCACAGCCTGGGCAGGTACCATCAACTGCACAAGCACCAGGGGCCGCGCCTACCACTACACCTGCTCCCCCTCAACAATCAACACAACCTCAAGCACCGCAAGGCACTCAACCACAAATGACATACCCCCAACCACCAAACATGAACGGGACTACGCCCACTCCCACCACCGCTCCTCAACCGATGAACCAGCAACAAGTACCACCGCGTCCTCTATCCCACCAAGCTGCCATGAACCAGGCAGCCCAGACCTACACTAACACCAATGCTCCTAACAACGTCAATAACACGGGCAACATGACCCAACCAGGCATGACTCAACCAGCCGCCACAGCAAACCAGGCTGCGAATAATGCAACTACCCAGGGCTACATCCCCAACCGCGCTTCTGAGAACTCAGCCCGCAACATCAACATGGCTATCCCGAAGAATCTTAATGTGCCTCCGCCAGAGCCTGTCGCCATGTCACCTGCCCGACCAACCCTGTCTGGTGGTCCTAGCCACGGAGCGATGGGTATGATGGGCCAGCCCGCTATCCAGAAGCACCCTGGTTACGTCTTGGAGGGCGAGGGTCAGCGTGTCCTCAGCAAGAAGATGCTCGATATTCTCGTCCGTCAAGTCACCGGTGGAGGCGAAGGTGAAGGGCTCACACCAGACGCTGAAGAGGTACGTACCATTTCCCCTTCACTTCACTTCACCCCATCATACAAGTATACTAAGTGAATGACAGTTTGTCCTCCAAATGGCCGACGACTTCGTCGACGACGTGATAACCGCCGCCTGCCGCCTTGCCAAACTTCGCCCCTCCTCTACCCTCGAACTCCGCGACATCCAACTCGTCCTCGAACGCAACTACAACATGCGCATCTCTGGCTTTTCCACCGATGACCTCCGTACCGTCAAGAAACCGCAGCCCACGCAAGGTTGGACACAGAAGATGTCTGCTGTTCAGGCGGCTAAGGTTACTCAGGGCAAGGCCGAGTAATCCCTCTCTGGTCTCCTTTCCGTTATGAGAGTCTACTTTTTTTTCTCTTTTGTTATGGTTCGAGTTCAGCCGGCGTCGATGGGAGGTTATCTCTTTCACTTACACTTTACTTCTTTTTGGATTGACAGTGGGATATCGTAAAATTGTTATCTGCTTATAGGTCAGGTCAAGTCTAGTCAGGAAACGAGGAATTGCTGCATGTACAATTGGCGTTTTCTTTTCTCTATCGGCTACCTTGTCACTCAGAATGATTGGAATTGAATGATATCAAGTCACCACGACAATACACGTACCTTCACAAATTGAATCATCCCGTGGGCATTGTCTGCCGCCGCCGACTCCCGTTCACAGCAAATACGTGCACTCGTTCAATGTAAACACAACTCATGATAATCGCAGGTGTCAAGGTGTATTACAGTATGCATTGCTCAATGAAAAATCTAGTTCACTTCAGAAGGCCTAACATCCGTAGTCGACCAAGTTGTAGAAAAACAATGGCATACCAGGATTTCTGTATCTCATCTCTAGTGCCTCGTGCCCTACACAGAAAAAGATAGTACACTGAAGATCAGCCTACCACCTCCAGCCACATAAACAATTCACGGTGAGAGCATCACAATTGAAAGGCACAAATCAATCTGACAAATCTGACGATGCTCCAAGGCATATCGAGACTCTCTAAGACGCGAAGTTTGGACGCTCCAGAATTCTACAGCCATGGGGTTGTGCATTGCTAGCTCTCATTCTATCTGGCATTCCAGATTAATCACTCTAAATTTGAAAAGTTTCTCTGGAAATAGTGACCCTCTGTAAGCAACTCGACTTTTCCAGAATGGTGGCTCGAACGTATACTGCGCGGGCGTTGGAGTACCGACATAGGAGGGAGGACCAGCCTCCCCCACAGGAGATGACTGCTCGACAACTGGTTTGTTATCTGCCGCTTCTGTTATATCTAAAGGTAGGCCGTTGGTGCTGGAATCAGGTCCTGTCCTTAGCAACAGTCTTAAAAACAAAGTTGTTATCCCTTGGCGTTACTGCTAATGAAAGTGGACCGTGGCCGTTCTTATCCTAGGATTCAGAGTCTGCCCCCTTTCTCCAACAGTAACTCGAAAATTTGCGTCGCATGATTTGCAACTGCCCATGGCAATGGGATATGGCCATTGTTGTCCTTCAAGTTGGGATCTGCTCCCAACGCTAACAGCAACTTGACAGAATTATGGCCACCAGACAGATTACCACACTTCCGCCCTGCAGCCTAGTTCAATGACGTTCGGCCATGGTTTCCCTTAAAATCTATATCAGCTCCATTCTGTGATAATATTCTGTTTGTGGGCTCAAGATGTAGTGCGGCTGCCCATGAAAGCGGAGTACGGCCATCATCATTGTTAAGATTAGGGTCCGCTCCAATCTCCTCCAATATCTTCACGGTTTTTGACTCCCGTATTGATTCCATTTATGCCTGTGATAAAACGGTTTGGCCCCCTTATCCCTCGAGTTAGGATCAGCTCCATTCTCTAGTAGTAACACCATCGTCTTTTTGCCATTTTTGCCCTTTTTGCCCTTTTTGTCACTTTTGCTATCTGCTGCCAACATAAGCGAAGTTCGGCCGTAAAGATCCTTGAAGTTCACCTCTGCTCCCCGCTTAAATAAAGAATCGGCTGCTGTATGATAGCCATGCTTAATAGCGTATGGCAAGGGCATTTAGTCGCAATGATCTATAAAATTCAGGTTAACACCTTTTTCCTGCATAACCAACTATCTTCGCAGGTCTCACGCCACTTCAAGTGGTTGGGCGTGATTTTCAGTATACATCTCTTGGTAGACATCTTCGGCGTCGTCTTCGATTAGGATCAAATTATTGATTAAATGTCAGCGAAGTATGGTATGAATACGGTACTATTATGTGAGAAGATCCACATAGTAATTAGTATTCCGTACTGCTAGATGATAACTCAGGAATGACTATTTGGATGAAACTGGAAATTGATGGCTGTGATTAAGATACCAATAATTTGGTTGTCTGTGGGAGAGATTAGAAAGGTACACCCCAAATAGTCACATGACATGTATGTTTGTGTACGATGTACTCTCGTGTCATTAATCAGAATGGCTAATATCATACTGGATCAGCCTGGAACTACATTCCGGCTCTTAGGAACCACAGCTCTGTACATAGTGGTGCATGAGCAAGTCATATCTGGTTGCCCATTGCGGGTGCTGTTGCTCCCAAAGGGCAGTATGCGATTCCTGGGGTGCTTTAGACTTGAGGGCAGTTTGTTAGCGAACTTAAGAGTCAGTAAACAGTCTAGCTCCGACGATATTATGACATATTAAGCCAAATCAATCCAACGATGCACATTAACTTCTGCCCCCGATAGTACCAATGCCTCCGAATTCCCTGTCCAAAAGCAAAGGAATGGGCATTTACTATGTCGAGCTAGCGCCGTCTTTGCCAGGGGCCTATCCGATCCTCCAGGGCATATACCGTCTTTATTTCCACCCTCTCCGACATACTCCTAGCCCTAAGCTAGCCATAACCTATTTCTACGGGTTCTACCATAACTGTATCCATCACGGGAAGTTCCTGTTTGAAATTGAGCGCATACGCCGAGTATACAATATGTTTCTTGTTCCACGAAGAGGGACCAGTAAAATCTTAAGGGTATTCAATTAACCTGCTACCACAGGCCCTATTGCTCGTATCAAACCGCACGAAGTTCACATTTGCTTCTACCACGAGACCTATGCATCGAGTGAAAGACCACTGGCATCTAGAGTGGTTCGTTGTTTTCCAATTACTCCCACATAGACTGCAAGTCAATGGGCAGTCCTTTATCATTCTGATCTACCAAGCTGAAGATCTTCAATGTTCCTTGTGATGAAACCAACGCGCATTTCGTCCAGGTCGCCGCCCGAGCCAGCTCGACAATAACCCGAAGCAGTGCTGCAAGCTTCTCCAGCTGTTCTTGATGGCTCTCCTCCCATTCCTTAAGCTTTCCCATCCTCAAAACATTCCTTTTTGTGATGCTCGTAAACGTCCCAGTCCCATCATAATGACCGGCGCAGAGAATAGGCGTCTGCGAAAACCAGAGCTGTTCTGTGTTCTTGGAAACATCCAGGTTCTTTTCAACTACTCCGGTTTTGATCTCGATTATCCGAGATGGTGCGACCAGGTTTCCCCATTTTAATACCGTATATCCCGTTGGGGTCTTGTCGCTTCTCGGTTCAGGCATTACCCTGCGGACATCATCGTCAAAACCGGTGCATCCGTCGACTTCATATCGCAGAATGATCCTAACATTCCCGAACATGTAGCGAATGACCCGATTATGTGTCATGCTATCCTTGGCTCCCTTTGGTCGATGGGTAGACGCCTTTTCAAATTCATGGCCATATCCCGCAAACCCGTTGATGTATGTGAGTGCTTTCGGCGTCCAGCAATAGAACAACACTGTGTTGTTGACGACCTCCACGTCGATGCGGAATGAACTCTTCTTGCCACTCACGAAACCCAGCAAGGCTCGGAGATTGCGTCGATCCGTAACAAGGTCAATGTCATTCATTTTCATTCCGGGCTGTGTGAGAGATAAGGCTCTGAAGAGCGGCTCGAGGGGACATTTAGGGAACACATGTCGATTTGGGTCCATCGGAGATACTCCTGCATCTGGCTTGATCTTTTTTGGTGTGATTGGGGGCTTCCAGATGGAGGGAGAGCCTTGACATGATTAGCGTTAATATACAGAAGGATCTTGATCTATCCACCAGGCACAATGATTGTTTTTCGTTGCTTTGGTAGTAGATTGTACGACGTTAATGTCGTTATATTGACCTTTTTAGCGGCAAGCCCATCATCCCTCGGCTGGAAGGAGTCTAGAGGGATCTCCCCCAAGACATCTCCTAGGCCTTTGAGAAGGGGATCCTTGGGCATATTGGTGATGAGTGGTGATGAAGGATGGATTGCTGGGCGCGTCAAACGTAAGCACTGATGCCCAAAAGCCAAGTCCTTCTGCCTGAGGCCGGCGCTTAGAAGTATCTCTGCAGATGTGTACTTTGGAATCGTTATCTCGATTGTTGCCACGATCCCAGACATGAGCAAAACTAAAGAGGCCCGAACCCCGAAACATCAAGAAACCAACAAGAGATGTCTGTATTGATATACTTACTTACAGTACTGTATGTCTTTCGTTCTATTCAATCAAACTTCTAGAGGAGGAAAAGGAAGAAAGAGTTCAAAACAATATTAATCCAAGCCGCTCAAAACTTGCTCTCAGAACAGTAATAGCAAAAACAAGTATAAAGAATAAAGAAAATACGCGTGTACTTTGTTTGCCCATCCATGAATGCAATAAAAAGAAAGTGAAAGGGAAAAGGAACATAAGGGTATGGCTTGACTGAAAGCAGAAAGGGTGAAAAGGTCGAGGCAACATCGCCATGGCATAGTAAAGCAAGAGACACAAGGAAAAAGAATTTGACAGGCCAAAATTGGCATGAGCAAACAGGACAAGGCAAAGACAACACGTCATGTTATGAAAAGAGGTATTGCAATATAAGCAATAAAAATGCAATCATGTCGGGCGACCGACATGAGCAAATGAAAAAATTTCCAATATGTAAAGGGAATGACGACGATAAGAGGAAAAAGAAAAAGAGATCTAAAGAAGGGTCAAAGTAGGTTTTAAAAGATAGACGGTACATGATCAAACGGTTGCCTGTCATGCAAGAAAAGAGAAGAATCATGGGTATCTCGCGCTTCTGAGACACTGTTCATCCGCGAATCGAAACGGAAAGGTGATAAGAAAAAGGTTCAGCTGAACATGTCGAAACGGACAAAGTTGCGTCCTGATAAAAAAAAAAAAAAGCAGGTAACCCCCATCCATGGAAACACACATCAGTCGTAGTAACATGACACTCTATGAAGAGCGGTTCCTAAACGGGACGAGAAATGGTGAAAATCAAAGAGGCAACGGCAAGTCAACCATAAAGAGGGCGCCATTAACCTCGATAAGGTCTGGAATTCTCGTCACGAACTGCTGCTTTGCCCTTCTCTGGCATACCGAATCCATTCTGGTTGGGAATCGGTGGCAAGTCCTTCTCCGCAGGCACCGGAGGTCCTTGTCGACTATGCTGGCTATGGCCCCCGACACTGCTGGCCTCGCCCGCTTCATCCACAATCGGAAGTGTCGAGGTCGGTCCAGGACCGTTGGCGTCTGTAGGATCCCGAACTGTTGATAATGTCCGGGGATGTGTAATGGAAACATCCTTGGACGCCTCCTTTTCCGCGTGCTGCATGGTTCTTTCAACCGACGGGGTGCGTTCTGTAGATGGTCGGCCCATTGCACGGGACTCACGATGTCGCTCAGCTTCTTCCTTGGACATCGTGATGCCGCGGATAAAATTGATGAAACGATCACCGTAGCCTTCAGGTGGAATTGGCGAGATTTGTGTTCGATCGTTTGACAGACCTTTGAAGAAGTTCTCTATCCTTTTGATGGTTCCATACTAAGAACATTTAGCAATTGTTCAGATAAACGGTAACAAAAGAAAAAGAAAGAAAAA